TTTTCACATCTTCAACTTCTCAACCACTGGGCCAATTTCAACCAAACTTGCCACAAAGCATCCTTGGGTGAAGGGATTAAGAATTACTGAAAACTTATGGTATTTTTTTTTTAAATCTTGTTCTCAAGAACCACTGGGCCAAAAAAGTTGAAACTTATATGAAACCTTTTTTACATAGTGTAGATTGAAATTTTTCAAATCATGACCCCCAGGGGTAGAGTGGGGCCACAGTGGGGGATCAAAGTTTTACATATGAATATATTGGAAAAAATCTTCACAAAACTTTGTCTCAAGAACAACAAAGCCATAATCAGTCATATTGATATGGAAATATCCTCAAAAAGTGTAGATTTATGTTTGTTCAAATCATGACCCCCGGGGGAAGGGTGGGGCCACAATGATCATCCATTGTTCTGGCCTCCAATTGTTTGGATGTCTTCCATCCATATGTAAACTTTTCACAATGCTGACTTTTTCTCAAGAACCACTGCATCAGCCAACTTCATCCAAAACTTGGCACAAAACATTGAGAAAAGGAGATTCAAATTGTTCAAATGAAGGGTTGTGCCCCTTCCAAGGGGAGATAATCAAAGAGAGGTAAAATAGGTGGGGATAATTTTAAAAAAAATCTCCACGCCAGTGGTATAGAAAAGTTTAAACTCAAGTGAAAGCTTCTTGGCACAGTATATATTCTAAATTGTCCAAATCATGACCCTTTGGAGTAGGGTGGGGTCACAATAGGAGATAAAAATTTGACACATGAATACATAGTTTACATATGAATATATAGGGGAAAAGGACAAGGTATGGTAAGGGCCGAATCTGGCCCCTTATTTGATGTAAAAATCAAAACAGTTAAAATTGTGATAGTTTGTAGTTAAGAATTTAAAAAGATGCTCGTTTTAAAACCAGCACCAATTTTGATTCAAAGCTTACATGGAGGCCACAAGAGGGTGCATAAGTAGGACATATTCCCGAATTTCCTATATTCTGGTGGCATTTTGTCAAATTTGAGATACTTTTCACTTTGGGAAACATAGAGCACAAGCTTGCCTATCTGAGATTTTTATACATAAGATGCATCTGATACTAGTGTATGAAATATATAAATTTTGTAGACAGGCAAGCTTGTGCTCTGTTTTCCGAAATAAAATGTGCTGTAAAATCGATGAAAAATTGCATAAAAATGAGAAAATTCGGAAATTGACATATTTTCTGACCTTCCTGTGACTTCGGTGTATCCCATAACTTAGAACCAATACTCATTTTGTGGCAGGGGTGACAACAGGTTTTTATTGATAAACTGTTGCATCATTCTAAAAGACACCCCAAACCAGGGGCCAAAAAGGGGTCATAGCCTATCTTGTCCTTTGGCAGAAGAGTAAGTTCTATTACTATATTCATACAATCATGTTACCTGCTACTTGCCAAATGTTTAAAAGATATTGAAATATTGCAGAAATTTTAAGGGTTTTGGCTTTGATAGACCCACTCTGATAGACTTATTCTAGCTCCACATTAAGGTCACAACTTGATGGAAATACTCTCGCTACATTGTGATTAAAATTGTTAGCTCCACATGAAGGTCAGCACAAATTAAAAATTCAGTACCTCCCTTGCAAACTAATAAATTGTATGGAGAGTACTCTTGCTACACTGTGATTAAAATTGATTTGTCGAATGACTTGATGCATTTAATAAAGAACCTTGAGGGTGCAGCAACAACACAGAAGAAACAAGAAAATTCTGATTTCATCATTTGTGTCATTTTAATAATAAACAATAAATATTCATATATTTATAATTTGGCCTAATGATAAGTGATGACATACACATGTGGTAACAGTAAGCTATCCACAGACACAACCAGTCACAGAGCAGAGCGAGCTGGCCTGCCAACACTGAAGCAGACAGGGCAACATATAAAACATGGTACAACCTTGGTGGAACAGATCTTTCCACTAACTAGAGATTCAGGTACATGGATATTGAGAAAAAAATTAAAACATGACCTGAGAGGTTTTTTTTCTTCATATTCTTCTAGAGACATTCCATATAAAGAATATATAAGTTTAATGTATTTCCCAAGTAATTAGGACATGAAGGAAATTAAGCACTTATCACTTCACATAACAAATTTCAATAAATAAATAATTTGAAATTGACAGAGAAAATGATATGGCATGAAGATTTTTATCATACAATGTAGTACTTAATTTATATAATTTATAGTGCAACTAGTAAAAGTTTTTACACTTGGTTAAAACATTATGGCAATACTGACCGGTATTACATACCTCCAAAATGAAGCAAATTTTAGATTTTCATAAATGTAAAAAATAATGCTTTTTCTGCTTGAATTTCTATTTGTGACCATAACGTACATAATGTTCAAAGCCTGGAATGCATATAATTTTAGAATCATCCAATTAAAAACAGGATAGAAAAATTTTGATGTCATTCCCTGACATTTCATCTAGTTATATAGTCATTTAATTGCATCTAGTGGAATGAATTTGATGTAGGCATTGACTCAGAATTTTATGAAAAAATAATAATTAAATCTGTTGATTCAATCTCTCTATCCTACAAAATTAAGGCCACTGACTCAATCAGTGCATTGGGAATGCATTCAATGTCATCATATTGCCATCAAAAAACAGAGAACATTCATTAAACATACACATTGTACATGCAAAAAGTTTTTAAAAATGCTTCCACATTCCATACAAACAACAAATTTAAAATCGATAGTGAACATTTCAGCTTCATAACAAATATATATATATGTATATATGTAGCAGTGAAGCCCAAGTCACAGAATTGGGAACAAAAGTCATGTACTGCTGGAAATACCCAGATCTCGGACTCTCCAATCCGTGGTATCACATGAACAATATATATATCAATAAAATCTTGTCACAGTCTCAATGTCAACGTTACCTTTTCAATAAATATTGTCTCTACCATATTGCAAACAAAAGAATACCTTGTTTTTTTAAACATTAAAACATCTAAACACATATCACAGAGCAGCAAGGGTTTAGTGTCTTTCTGAACTTCAAAATTTCTATACAAGTGTTATAACTATTTGTAATTTACAAACATATTCCAAGAGAAACTTCTGTCAATCTTATTTTAAGAGGAAAAGAAAAAAACAATCAAAAACCATCCATTTCTTACAATGTAACCACCATGTATACATCTTTGTAACTATACCACTGTCCATCTGACGGATGTGTCATCCATTAACCTACTATACATATATATATAAATAGCATCATTTTTTATCACTCCAATAATTTAGAAAATTGTAGTTGTGATTGACTTAGCACTTATCTGTACACCACTGTTGTATACAGCACTCTTCCATAATGGCACCCAATTCGATTAACTTCTTGTGTGCACCCCCCCAACTTTTTTCTACACATAGTAGTACTCTTTTTGAAACAATAAAAAAAAATAGGAAGGCTTTCGGAAGAGTTTTTAAAAGAACATTCTCGGCTTTTTGCCAAGAGATTTCCTATTCTACTTAATATGTTTAAAAATTCATTTCCAGAATTCTAGTGAACATAACATAAATTTTCCATGGTGTAGCTTCACAGTGATTTTTTTTTAAAGGTTCATGCTTTACAAAACAAAGTCCTAAGAATACTTTTGGCTGATTTTTGATAGCTTCTGTCAGCATTGTTCTTCATCAAAAACCTATTACAAGAAACAATGCAGATTACTGAAATTCTTGTTAAGAAGGCCAACAGGTAGTAAGATTTTCAAGATGAGAACTGGTAATTTATTTTATTAATAGCTTTACTTTGTGCATCTATTTTAAGTACGCTGTTCTCTATGCTTCATGAGATCACTATTTGCACACACAATTATTAAATTATGTTATGAAATTTTATAAAATCAGAATACTGTATTTTGGAACTATCATTTAAAATTTGTAATTGAAATATTAATCACTCTAGAAGTTTGAAGTCTAAGTTGCTTTTACTGGCATTTTTGGCAGTTTTCCAAATTGTAATTTGGTACTGGAAGTCTTCATTTTATGGCAAATATACAGGATTCCTTCAAAAATTACACAGAATTCATGGTGCATAAATTTGACATCAAGAGTTTAAAAGTGGTATGGTGTAGGACTCTTTTGACTAGTTTATGGTATATAAAATGAATACTTTACACATCTTATAATTTAAAAAATAAATACTTTCAATTTGATTCAATCAACATTATCAAAAGTTCAAACAAAAGGCCCATAGGCCATAAAGGTCACCTGAGTATCAGCAGCAACTCTTCTGCAGCTTAACTAGAGTGTTAAATGAAGTAAACATGACTCTTGCTGAAGTACATAAACTTTACAAGCATTCAATCAGAAGTGAGGAGGAAGATATTCCAGTACATTTAAAGTTTGTTGGTCAGTTCTCTGGTAAAAAGGAATTTACACATTTTTTCAGAATCTGAACCCCACTCTGGCCTCACTAAATGATAATCAAGCTGGAATAATTATTGCTAATTATACACATTTTGTATGACATGCTCAGAAGTAAATAAAACCGACATTGATCTATGCTCTTTCTTTACTTAACCCCTACCTGCAGCTCAGAGTCAAAAACTTTACTAAATTTAGTATAGAATTCTCAGGTAAATGTGAAGGTAAAGATACCATTTTCCCAGTTAATTATTTCTAAATGTACCTGAAAATCACAATTCTCTTCTCCATCATGAATTGATGCAAACCAAATTGAGTCAGAACTGGTCTGAAGGTTTCAGAAAATTTAAGAATTCAACAAAAATTACAAATCATAGGTGACAACGCACACAGACAGATTGCAATAGGTCATTCAAGTGATTTTGATGACCTAAAAATCTAAAAAATTTCAAAGTATAAATTTGAATTAACTTCATGATCAATGCAGCATCACATGCATAAACAAATGGAATACATTAAAAAAGAAAAATGTCGCAACAATCCGAAGTCAATAATGAACTAATGTCCCCTTGCGTTTAGCTCTATCCTTATAGTAGAAACTTCCTTGGAAGACCAAAAAAGTGGAAATGCTTAGATGAACATATACTTGTTGTAAATTGCCTCTGTCAAATGTCAAAGTACTACATAATCTACCATTTATGCTATAAAGTTTTAGGTGTTGTCACACACAACTTATTTGCACTAGTTAAGATTTGAAACTCCTTCGTATTTTCTGTATCACATTTGGAGAAAGGCGACTATTCGCAAATTGATTGAAAGCACAATTGTGATATATATTTTGTCATGTTATAGCTGCCTTCACTTGGATGAATTCAAATCCACTTTTGACCCTTTCACCTTTGAGCACCAAATATTATGTCACTCCTTCCCTCCACCCTGTGGCTGGCCCCTTATAGAGAACACTGAGAATTGCTGAACACCCATCAAGAATGTTGACAACCACAGGTGAGCACCAGTCTATATAAAACTTGCTTCCTTCATGTATTTTTGTTAAGTGTCTTTTAACTTTTCTACAACTTTCTGAAGATAAGTGATTAAGTCTTGCATACTGCTTTGTATAGTCAGTGTTTCTGAGTTTTCTTCTAAATCATCAAAGAACCCTGTAAAAAAATAAAATTCAATCTTATTCTCCAACAATTCAAGTAAACATATAAAATTTTACTCATTCTGAAATTTTACACTTTTGTAATTTGAACTTTAACCTTACCTTTGACTTCCTGCATGATAATGTCAGCTTGATCCCAGAGGTCATGAGACTGTACAAGGTACCCAGTGGATGTGATGTATTGTTGTGTGATGGAATGTATGCGCTGTGGGTATGCAATGGTGGCCGGGGACATATGGACATTTCCATTGGGAAGTTTAGAGGGTGTGAGATCAGTACTACTGCCCTGTAAAGGTAAGAGAAAAAATAAAGAATTGCGTAAACTACTGCTTGAGAAACAATACATGCATTTTACAATTAATTTTAAATATTAAATGCATTGCAGCCTACTCCAAGACTTCTTTTATATTCAAAGCATATTATTTCAAACCCATCAAATTTTTTGCATTTTAGAATGAACCATGTTAATACATGTAAAGTCAAGTGTATTTTAAATCTGTGTGAAATACTGTCTCCTGCATATAAAACTCACCCTGGATTCCAGTGACCCTGTGCTGCCAGCTGGGGAAGGGGTAGGGGACATAGGGGAGGGGGTTCTGTTAGAGCGGTTGCTCCAGCTGTTCTGATGAGGTGAGGGGGCATGACTTATGGGAAGGCCTTGAGGTGGTGGCTTGCTTGCTGCAGTCTACAATATTAATTTCAATCAATTGTAATACCTTTACAGGTAGAAGCTGATGTGTTGATATTGATTTAACAACTGTGATCAGAAGACTGACAAAGTTATATAAGCTCCAATAGTGTGCTCATTTCAACAATCATGTCCTTTTGACCTTGACTTTTGATGGAGAGAGCCCTACATGTTTGTCTTCCTTAAACCTCATATACCTGTTTTGTAAATGAGTCTTTTGATCAAGAAAAACTTGATATATTGTATCAAATAAAGCTTTTTAACCTTAACCTAGATTAATTAATACTAAATTGCCATAACCTTTAACCATCTTCTATCTATGAAGTTAATATAATCTCATTTAAACAAAAATTATTTTAAAGTACAGTGCCACAAAAAAAAAATCAGTAGTATTGTCTTTTCTAACTTTTAATCAATTGAGCATAAAATCTATAGGGATCTTCCCTTAAATTCCCTAAGTTGTAAATAAGAAGTCATTTGCTTAAACTATCAACACGTTCTTTAGTTACTGTGTCACATAACAGTGATAACAGATGGATGAAAGAGCAGATAGATGATTGGACATCATGTTTATTATAAGGCACCCTCATAATTCAGGATTCTAAACATCTCAGTGAGGTTAAACCTAACATTTGTACATGTCTAAAAATGATCAACACAAGCAACTTTCCTCCTTGAGTACTGATTTACATACCTTGTTGTAATCCTCAATTGCTCTTTTAAGCTTCAAAGTATCATTCTTTTTCAGCTTGTACAATTTCAGATTCAACAATGACTGGATTCTCAAACTATAATACAAAATATCTTATAAAAGACAAAACTACAAGAGAAAAACAAGTATCACATATATACTAGTAATATAAGAAATGATCATGACAGACTTGAAATTATTAGTGAAAGAAAGCTGCAGAGGAAATTTAATGAAATGTTTCAAGCTTTAACATACTCTTCATTGCATTATTATTATTTGAAGTACACATTTACAAAAGTAAATTTTTTTCCTCATAGACATCTCCAATTGACATAATTCAAATAGGTATCTGAGTTTGAGATATATCTTTTTTTATCCATCTGCAAATTTTTAGTACATTAACAAAGACTTCTTTTTGGTTTTTTAATTTTTGAGTACTTCCAAGGCTATAACGTTTTGTCAGGCTTCTGTTTAGTACTCTGTGTAATTCATAGGGATTATTTTGGTAATTCTCATCAAATTTGTTTTTATTTTGTGGGATTTTTTAATCAATACTCATTTCAGGTAGAGTTGAAGTAATGGATACCTCAATACGGATATGATTTTCTCCTTGGTGGACAAGTTATTGTTTGACTCATGGCTTCCTCTCAAGCGGCTTATATGTCTGCAAAGAGAGGACCACAAATAAATCACATGACAACAAGTCATTATGACAAAGTATCATAAAACCTCAGTTATTGATTATCTAGGGATATCTCCATCTCTGAGTGCTGTACAACTGGAGCCCTCATGTTCTATCATGCTAACAACAAACACTGTCAAATGATAAATTACAGAACAATAAAGGAACATTCTTAAAAAGGAAATCAAATGAATTGTATATCACTTCTCTGGTCATTTTTATTCAATTGCATTCTATGCAATTATTTTAAAAATCATATGAAACATTTAAGGTTCATATCACAATATAAATGAATCCCTTTGTAAATAATTTCTTTTGTTCCATTCATGATGATTTGACTAAATACTGTATGTATTTCAATCTTTGATATCTATCATAAGTAAAATCTTGGTTAACATTTTGAATTATTTGCTGGATCAAGCACAATCTTTTTCTTTTTTTCTCTCTCAAGTCAAACCTTCATTTCTTTCCTACTACCACCATGATTTAACAGCACCTCTATTACACATAACCAGGTTTGACATTATATGTTCACAAGTTACTCTCTCATTTGTCAGACTTATGAGACTAGCTTGTTTCTGCCCTATCATTTGTCAGACTTATGAGACTAGCTTGTTTGTGCCCCTGTTTGTCAGACTTTTGAGACTAGCTCGTTTGTGCCCCTGTTTGTCAGACTTATGAGACTAGCTTGTTTGTGTCCCCAGTTGTCTGACTTACGAGACTAGCTTGTTTGTGTCCCATCATTTGTCAGACTTATGAGGCTAGCTTGTTTGTGTCCTACCATTTGTCAGACTTATGAGGCTAGCTTGTTTGTGTCCTACCATTTGTCAGACTTATGAGGCTAGCTTGTTTGTGTCCTACCATTTGTCAGACTTATGAGGCTAGCTTGTTTGTGTCCTACCATTTGTCAGACTTATGAGACTAGCTTGTTTGTGTCCCCAGTTGTCTGACTTATGAGACTAGCTTGTTTGTGTCCTACCATTTGTCACACTTATGAGGCTAGCTTGTTTGTGTCCTACCATTTGTCAGACTTATGAGACTAGCTTGTTTGTGTCCTACCATTTGTCAGACTTATGAGGCTAGCTTGTTTGTGTCCTACCATTTGTCACACTTATGAGACTAGCTTGTTTGTGTCCCCAGTTGTCTGACTTATGAGACTAGCTTGTTTGTGTCCCCAGTTGTCTGACTTATGAGACTAGCTTGTTTGTGTCCCCAGTTGTCTGACTTATGAGACTAGCTTGTTTGTGTCCCATCATTTGTCACACTTATGAGGCTAGCTTGCTTGTGTCCTACCATTTGTCACACCTATGAGGCTAGCTTGTTTGTGTCCTACCATTTGTCAGACTTATGAGGCTAGCTTGTTTGTGTCCCTGTTTGTCAGACTTATGAGACTAGCTTGTTTGTGTCCCGTCATTTGTCACACCTATGAGACTAGCTTGCTTGTGTCCTACCATTTGTCACACCTATGAGACTAGCTTGTTTGTGTCCTACCATTTGTCACACCTATGAGGCTAGCTTGTTTGTGTCCTACCATTTGTCACACCTATGAGGCTAGCTTGTTTGTGTCCTACCATTTGTCAGACTTATGAGGCTAGCTTGTTTGTGTCCCTGTTTGTCAGACTTATGAGACTAGCTTGTTTGTGTCCTATCATTTGTCACACCTATGAGACTAGCTTGTTTGTGACCCTGATTGTCAGACTTACAAGGCTAGCTTGTTTGTGTCCCTGTTTGTCAGACTTATGAGGCTAGCTTGCTTGTGTCCTACCATTTGTCACACTTATGAGACTAGCTTGTTTGTATCCCCGATTGTCAGACTGAAGAGACTAGCTTGTTTGTGCCCTTGTTTATCAGACTTATGAAACTAGCTTGCTTGTGTCCTATCATTTGTCAGACTCATGAGACTAGCTTGTTTGTGTACCTGTTTGTCAGACTTATGCAATTAATTTATTTGTGTCCCTATTTGTCAGACTTACGAGACTAGCTTGTTTGTGTCCCTGTACATGTTGAAAATCTTGACCTGTTCCACGTTGGTACGTTCCATGGCATACCCACACTGAATAAATGCTATAAATGACTCTAGGTATTTCATGGCTCTTTGCAGCTTATCACTCTGTAATAAAATAGATTGTTATTTCTCATTTTCATGCCTACGGCAAATTTTGAGGAAATAAAAACCATGACTACACAAGTCAATTCTGGGAAGATTGAACATTAAAAGATATTTTTGGCAAAACGTACTGGAGTTGTACTTTAATCCGTATTAATTTTACTTTTAGAATGGTTGGTATTGCTCTGAGGTACAAACTTACTGAGCTATTCATGTTGTCTGCCTGATGCTTGAGTTCTTTAGCAAGACGGAGGTAGGTATCTGGTGAAAGATTACACCTACAAAATACAGACAATATATGAAATGACACTAAAACAAGTTTTTCTTCGCTTTGATGTTGGGTTTTTAAATATTGTTTTCAGCATCCAAGATTTTCTGAATATTCAAATGAGGAATATTATGTGTTATAAGTACAAAAATTACAGGATTATGAGCAAGCTATAAAGCCAAACACACGGATGCAGCCAGAACTGGTGAGGTCATAGCTGTACTTTTCCAGTAATGTGTTGAAAAAATGACATTTTACCGAGCTTACGAGGTGCAGAAGGACTGTCTGGATGCTGAATCAATAAAGAAGCCTTAATTATCAAGTAATAGAACGTATTGACAAGACAAACATAAGCCATCTATCAGAGAAGCTACTGAGGTGTCATACTATCAGGCTTCCTTTAATTCTGATCACACAATTGATTTTCCTGCCCTGATTGCTCTCTACTACTTTACAGATTTCCCCTGACAGGTTGACTGTCTGAGCACAAACTGTCTGTATCCACTAGCTCCCAATCATTGCTAGATTATCAGTTTATTTTCTCAAGATACTTTACTGATCAAATGCAAAGAAAATTTTCTTTGAAGACAATACTTAACAATGACGGACCTAATTCATTTCTGCGATAGATTATTCATTCAAATTTTAAATTGAGGTAAAGTGACTTTTGGTGAGTTAAAATCAATAAAAAAATCATATGGTCATCGATGTAGATTTTTAATGGGGAACGTTTCAAACGTTGGCAATGAAAGTGGAGAATTCCTATAGGAAGTAATGGGAAATTGCCAGTGTAGGGTATAAGAGTGATCATTAAAACAAATTCTGCAATAGAATTTTTATTCATATTAAAGGACAGTGTTAACAATTTACCAGCAAATTATGCCAAAAAATAAATGGGTCATTGACGTAGATTTTTCAGGGGGGCATGTCAAACACAGAAGTAAGGCACATTTTGGGGGAAATTTTCAATGGAAATACCTTGGCCATATAAATCATTTATTTATAAAATCAACAAATGAATATAAATCGAAATATTTACATTTTTCAATTGAGAGGAAACATTTGAATATCTTTAAAAGAATTAAAAATGTATATTTTTTATCTTTTGCAATACATAATTAAGTCAATTTGATTCAAGGCATATGCGCGGTTTTCTGCGCAGTGGAGTGAAATTTCGAATTAGATCCGTTGTCCTTAATCATAGACAGATTGTCTATAAATACTCAAAATATATAGATATTGGATTTCATAAACTACCATTCTCTAGTCATGAGAAACAATTTATATAACAATCCCTTCTGGTTAAAATTTAACACTTTTAAGATTCACAAATATTAGACATCTTTAATTTGATGAAATTTTGCTATAATATATGAAAATGATTTTTGACTTCGCTCTTTACAGGGGTGTTTGTAAAAATTATCATTTAGACTGGATAAGTAGTTATCCCATTCAAATGTAAATTTCATAAGGGATGTGAAGAAGATTAAAAGTCATTATGCCTGAGAATGTAAGCTTTAACAGTTAAAACTCACCAGTCATCCATGGTTTTAGCTGACTTGCGGGTCTGGGGACTAGGTACATGGGCTACATCTCCCTCTCCCCCTCGAGAGTAACTGGTCATTTCCACTGAAGAAGGATACTGACCACTGTTCTCCGGACCATTTCCTGGAACCTCCAATTCCTCCTGTTATACAAAGACAGGACAATTTCTTAAATTCTTACAGTAGATATGGTAAAGTATACAATTTCTTTGGTATTTTGTTCATTTAAAAATTTTTACATTTTTTAGCATTAAATATATTTACTGTTGAATTCCCCCCTCCCATTATAAAAATAACAAATCAAGTAATTGACTAAAAAATTATTATGTTCTAAAAATAACTTTTTTAGAAGCAGATTTAACCATAAGGTTGCTCTTGATACTAGGTTTTATGACATTTTTTTGACATTTACTCTTAAAAGTACTTCAATATTATCACTGAATTTAACACTGATATAAAGTATACTTGTCAATCAATCAATCACCTTGTCATCCAACTGGTGGCCTGTCATGTCTGGTTCTGTGCTCTGGTTTTTGGTTTTCTTTGACTGTTTACTGGTGCTACTGAACTGACTAGAATTACTACTTGAACTGCTTCTTCGCTCTTTGCCCTCTGACCTCTGTGGGTGTTTCATGTCCCATTCATGGTCATTGGTGTGACTTATTCTCCTAAACATTAATGAAATGAATTATACCAGGGATATGCTTCAAACAATGCTTCTGGGTCTTTTTAAAGCCCATTAAGTTTAAATACTGCAAAATATCTACAAAGAACAAATCTTACATACTAAAATGTCACATTTGATAACATCAACAATTTGTTGATAAATTATTAACACATACATAATGATTACATCATACACATGATCAACATTTACACTGTATATATACAATATCAAAAGATTAAACATTTCTAAAAGCTAAAAAGGGTATTTGGGAAAACTAAGAAACAGAAATAATAAACTGTAACCTAGACATTGGAATCTAATTATCTTAAATTATATTTACATATTTTTAAAGGGTTAGAACATTTGTCATTGTAACCATTAAAATTGAATTAAGCATGCTAATGTGTTTAAATGTAACAGTTCAGATGACATGTGTTTTAAGGTATATAACCCACTACAGCAGTTTAAAAATACTTTGGTCCAAGGTCCAGGATCTTAAGTTTATGGGGCTGACTAGCTGGTTTTCACTTCCAATAGTCCATCATATTGGGCAGAAAAAAAAATATATGATGAAAAGCATAAAAATAAAACATTTTGAGAGGAGCCTGTACTTTTTGTTTTTTTCTGAGCTGGTTCACAAAGCACACTCTGAGTAGTAGTTTACTATAGTGTACAATTCACATCACCAAAATGTTTCAGGTATCAGGTTTGACACACCGCATTTCTGCAACTCAGTGTTATTGTTCCACAAAAAATACGTTAAATTCCATTTTTTTTTTTTTTTTAACAATTCTGCGAAATATATTGTATAACGATTCCACAAATATTTTCCCTGGATCACTGGCACACAAGTAAAATAAACATGAATTAAATTGTTCTTCAAATAAAAGAGTACAATTAGCAGGATAAAATACTGATAAATTAAAATAGCATTCTGTACCACTGCAAAAACATGTACGTATGAGTTAATATGATAATGCATAAAATATTGATTCTGACTTGATCATGTTACTTTTTGACAGACATGATTGATGCAAAATGACACCCTAGCTGTAGCATTAAATGAAATTCAACCCTGGAAATGTTGCGTTTTGTATATTTTGCATATTCTTTACTCAAAATGTCAAGACTGTGTTTGTCACTTTACATCACAAGCAGGTAACATAGCTATATTTTCTTTTGTGGAAATGTTTACAACAAAACTTTTTGAAGAAATGTAAAAAATAAAATTCCTCAAAATTTGCAGAAATGTAATACACCCATTGGGTTGACAGCTTGTTATAAAACAAGCCATGAGAGGAGATTTTTTTTTTTTGCCAATGGACTAGTAAATAAATATTATGGACTAGTGATTTTCACATGCTTAGTACCAGGTAGTCCTTGGACAAGTGAATGTTTGGGGAAAATTTAAACCAATAGGACCTAATTTTCTATTCTGTATATATTCATGTATATAATGCTCTGATATCTGGTATATATTGTACATTATATTGTACATAGAACCTCATGTACCAGTAATATAGTTTTGAGAGAATAAATTGAACTTGAACTTGATATCAATTTAAAGCAGTAGAAAAAGGATTTGACCAAAAGAAATTCTCAAAAATGTAGTTACCTATGTAGATTTATCAAAGAAGATTTCATTGAGGTTTATGGGGACAAGCCATTGTTTTTTAAATAAAAATTCAACTACTAAAAAGATAAAAAAAAAAATGCTTTGGTGGAAAGATGTATTCAATTATCAGGAATAGAATAACAATTAAAAATTACATTTTTACCAAATAATATTTAAAAAAAAAATTATTTATATTGATTAAAAACAGAGGTAGATAACTCTTCTAGAACAGGTCAATTAGGATCTCCACTTCTATATAAAATGATAATAATAATTGAGAATTATGTCTTAATTTACCGAGTATTCAACCAGTACATATCTGTTTAGCGTTATGTATTCAATTCCAATGAATCTGAGGCTATTAGGGATGGATTACCTTTAGTTAATATAACACTTTAGATGATAAATTTTCCCTCATAAATTTTACAGCAATCATTTTCTAGGCTTGTGAGATAATAATACATGTATACCTGATACACTGATAAAACACACATTGATTTTGTCTAGTGCTTATTTAATTAAAATCCAAACAAAAGGCCCTTAGATCTTTACTACCTAAGTGTAATGAATTTCTTACCCATAATTGGGACAGGAACTCTGGACTTGTTACAGTGCTAATAGAATCTTAATATCTAGAGCCCAGAGTTCTTTTTTGTTAACATTTCACAAATGTACAATATAAAATTTACATAGCTAATATACAAGTATACAGATTAACACAAAAGCCTACAATATGAGTAGATGCAGGTTGAGATTCAAGATATTGTCAGAAAAAATGTTGAGGGCACCAGCATCTTGATATGGGGCCTTTAAAATAGCAAACAGCTTCATCTGATCTGATCAATCTCTATCAAGACCTTAGTACATTTTCACTGTTACATTCAGCCCAAGGACTCACACCAACCATTGTTCTGCAATATTGTACACCATATCACAATGTGAAGACTTCAAGCTCAGCTTCAGTCCTTTGAGTTGCAATCATAAATTCTTAATTTCGCAGTTGTTTTCCTTATCAACTACTTCATTTCATGTGATTGTTAACATGAACGACATCACAATAATAAAATGATTTTAAAAAAAAACTAATGAAATAAAAAAATTAATTTAGATATAAGCCTTAGGTGATTATTTTTTTCATTTCACATTGCCATAAATGACACATACTGCATACAAGTTTTTTTTTCTTTTTTAGAATGCACTATATCCAATTAATATGCACACTTGTGTGATTAATAGCACTGCGACATGAAAATTTAGGAAATTAAAAAACATCAATGCATAAGAGATGTGTAAGCACTTACTCTCGAGAACTTCCTAAACTGTTTCTTTTGCTACTTCTTTTATCACTTCTAGCACGTTTTTTATCATTCTCAATGAAGTCCAAGTCTGATTTGCGTTTTGCACTGGTAATATCACCATTCATTGTCAGAGGCGAGTAATGCGATGAAAATGGCACTGGTATGGTATTATGTTGTGGGGATACTGGTTTAGGGCATTCGATGAGAACTTTGGAGTCTACAATATCGTCATCTATATCCATATCACTATCGCTGGCATTCTCCTCATGTTTGATATCTGAACACAACTCTTTCTCCTTATATTCTGAACACACTGTACTTGGGGAAGTATTGCATTTGACACTTGGTTTTGCTAAAGACAGGTTAAGATGAACAATAATGCTGGGTTTACCATTACTATTGTAAGTTAAACCTGGAATTGAAGGTTTGGGATTTGAATTTTCTGGAACATTAGGAATAGGTGACAAGGGAGGATTGACAGTGATTTGCTCTATAATATTCTTAATATCATCAAAGCTGTGGTTTTTCTTGTCATTATTTTCCTTATTCTCTTTGCTTTGTCTTCTATTGCTTGACTTTGTTTGGTCTCTCCTATCTTTGGTCTTCACTTTCTTTTCAGTAAAATTGTTTGGAATCACTCGATTTACAGACCCACCTGTCCCTTTGTCAAAATCTAACTTTTTCGTCACTTCTGACACAGATTCAACACTTTTCCTCAGTATTTCGGGAATAATTTCTTTCCCAGGAGTCACAGATTCCACATCTACCTCCTCATTTTCACTTTGCGATTCATCAGAAGATAAAACTGGCTCACTGAGTCTTTTCCTCCGCACTCGACTCTTAGAATCAGGTGTGGAAGTCTTGAGTTTTTCACTTGATGAAGTATGATTGCTGATTTTAGATGGAGGTGACTGATGTGCACTAAAACTGCTAAACGGTGATTTCTGTTGAGTAACTTTCTGTTTTGTCTGGAACACTGGTGACCAGTCATGCCCACCTGTATGGTCATCTATACGAGCCAACAGGTCATTTATCACCTGTTCATTGTCTTTTTCTGATGCTGTTGTATTTGGTTTGTCTGACAATTTGGAATTGTCATTGGAACTTGGAAGCTGAGAAATGGGAGATTCCACATTTGTTTTGATGAAGTTACTTAATGCCCAAGTGGAACACGTGGAACTTTTCTGGAACAGAACAAAGATTGTCAAAGATTTAATCGGATGTAACCATGAATTTCTGTCTAGTTTTCCAAAAGAAAAAAAAAAACAAGTGAAATACAGCATGAACACCATAACTTTAAACAAATCTCAAATATTACAAGTCAAAACAACCTGACATGAATGCAATCTTGAAGAATATAAAGCTAATGAAAGGAAAAATATTTTTTTTTTCATATCTTATACTTTTGATGAAAAAATATGAAAACCCAAGAATAAGATCATGAAACCTCAAGTTTAATTCACTAGATAGTGAAGTTATGCTTATCTAAAAATTGTTGATACTTAGTTGAAACCTGACATTCTTGTTGATGCCTTAGCTATATACTTGGTTTTATTATATAACTTTCAGCATGCCCCCCTTGAGTATATCCTGTCACTTACAGATGTATCAAGTCCTTTATCTGACAGTGAGGAATTTATTTTGGCAGGAGTTACTTTTTCTTCCTCCTCCTCCTCTTCGTCATCATCATCATCTTCATTATCATCACTTTTATCCTCCTCCTCTGAAGACTGACTTTCACTGTCAGATTCATTACTATCATCCTCATCCTCTGATGAACTACTTGAATCTCCAGAGTTCATCCTGAAAATAAGATTAATAAGGAATTTTACCTTAATATAAATCAGATATCATTATCCTTGTACTGTTTATTATTGATCCCTACCTGTCACATCATATGCTCCAACAAACAGGAAGTATACACACAGTTCAATACAAATGATTGATCTACTCTATCAACTATCAGTCTGATTATGCTCAGAGAACTAATACTTTTCTGCAGATATTGATTTTTTCAACATGTCTGCACAGTAACAACTTACATGTACTTAAGTTGGGTTTAAAGAATTGAAATTACTTTAAAATAAGGTGGAATAAATTATCACTAATAAATATCCATAAAAACATAAACTTATTCATGATACATGTACTATGCTTATCATCATGTCTGTTTGAATATATTGGATTTCTATTGAAGACAAAAATATCTAACCTGTTAGTTAGATAACACTGGCATCATACACCTACAACTTCCATGGATGAGGTGTTAAGTTCCAAAGTAACCAAATTAATTATGCAGTCATTTTAACATTTAATGAGAATGCAGAAGTGATTACCCATTTACCTGTGGGCTACATTTCTCTTTCCAATTGTGTGATTTTCTGAGAGGCTTTAGCCATAATGAATCAATTACTGATGATTTACCAATCCTGCTACAATTATTTTTTTGCAGCAGGCCAGTGTCTGAATCTGGCAGTGAAGGCAATCAATAGCTAGTGGAAATACAAATATACTCTCCGTTTACAAGATTATTTACAAGAAACTTAAGATAACAGGATATCTATTCAGTTTTACTGCCATAAAACATAGCAATGCGGAGTCTGCATTCATTAGTAGAAACCATGTTGTTTTTCTGAGTCTGCTCCGATCAACAAGTACTTCCTTTACAAGGTTAGGCCAGATTAGCTCAGTGACTAAATATATCATATGCAGCACATTAAATCCACAATTCATCAAGAAATAATAGGCTGCAATTGCCTGTCATTCTAAAGACAATGAATTAATGCTGCCAATGATGAATCCTCTGTACTAGGTTGTGCGAGATAAAAGCACAAAGAGAGAAAAGAAAACAAGATAACATTTAACACCCAAACAAAATCTAGTGACCTAAGAATGAAAACATTACCTGTTAAGAGTTTCTACTTTAAATAACACATCTGTCTGGGTCCACCTGAATTGGGCTCCCAAATCACTAAGTCTGATCTTAACCTAACACAAAATCTTGTAATGGGAGTTGTTTTCTACAGGGTCATAACATCAATCAATTTAGAATAAACTGCAATGCACTGAGGCAAGCTTGCCAACCATGAAACAACTGTATGTTGAGAGAGTGAACAATCAATAGATATTTTTATAGCTTTAGATATTATTCCTCATTTTCTTTTGTTATTCTGATCTAATAACCCAGTAGCTATTCAATTTTTGGCAAAATAATTGCTTCATTCACCTATTCAATAAATAAGAATTAAATATAAATACCAGGATTGATTTTAATTTGGAATGTGAAACACCCAAAGTGGTAATAAGAATTGAAAGAGATACTTGGTTGATCAAGCATTAAATATAAACTCTATACATCTTCATTCAATATACACTTGACGAGAGTGATAACCCTTAAAAGTGCAATTAAAGAAGCTGGCCTTGAGTGACATAAAGCACTTTTTTAGATTGGCAAAAATTGATTATTAAAAAAAAAAACCTTTAAGTTACCTATATACGTATATGAAATTTTGATAAACTATATTCATGTATTGATCCTGTAAATTTTTTTTTTAATATTTTTTTTACATGGGTATCAACTTTCTGTTTTAAATTAAACATTTTAAAAAGAATCATAAAAAAAATAATATAGTTATCATAAGACATGAGAGATAATCATTTGATGTCGTTGAATACATCAACTACACCCAATACACTATGTCTTGAATTACAGCCATTTCTGCTAAGATTGAAAGTCATTTTAAATGGACCATCAAACTGGCTGCCATCAAACTTAGATAACACCTTCATCCTTATCTCTGACCTGTAAGAACTTCAATAAATGTTCTAAAATAAATCTTATCTCATTACTAAAACTGCAAGTCATGTTTTCCCATTTTTTGTACGTGTTTGGTTTAAGGGAGAACACAGATTGATTCCTTTGTTCTTAAGATGAAATTCTATTAATAACAATTTCATGCACAGGAGGAGTAGATGGCACAGACTAGTTGCTCTATAACAGACAGTGCAGGGTTTGTTGTACCAATGCACCACGACAGATCTGTCAGAACAATTACTCAATAAACACGTCTAACAGAAAACAGAGATCTTAAAAAATTATCCCTAGCTTACACACTGCACATAGTGCGAGTTTACAACACCTGTGAAAACGGTAAACTGACTCACACTAATCAGCACTGAAAAAAACGTTCTAAAAGTTTCCTGTCATCTCATCAAACTGTTGTTTAACAACATACAATTAGGTTATGATGTTTACCTCTGTTCTTTTGTTGGAGCATTGGTGCCTGGTCCACTAATGGAGACTGAAGGTTGTTTAGAATCGGTTGTATTTGATGCTCTCTGGAAAGAAACAAAAAGTCATCCTGTAGATTTCAAATCTAACAATAAAAATGATGCTGTCAAAAGTTAATGCCAATCCATAGTAGAATCTAGACCCACTGTGCGTAGATCTAACAGATCACTCCATTAAGAGGTGATGTCGGTCAATCACAAAATATCAAATTTATGTTTATCTGACATTCCATTGGTAATATCTATGATAATGTTTTGCCATATATCATGATCAAGTCCATTTACAAACAGGAGTTCTTTTAAAAAATTTCTCAGGTAAAGGTACTTTGACAGAACGTTTTCCCCAGTGTAAGGAAAATCAATACCTAATTGTTTACTTGATCACATATTTTTATCGCTAACTTTCCAATCACTGGAGATGAGAGACTCCATTAATATAAACACAAAATGCAAAACATGCACCGTGCTGCATGTATTTAAATGCATATTTGACATGGAAATGAACCTAAGACCTACAGGAAGATTAAATTCCTTAATTTAATCTTGGATATCTAATCTTACATGGTGAATATTCTATCTAATAATACATTTTTTAGTTACAGAATTTAACACAGTGAGTTACATAAATGATGAACACTTAGGAAGTTAATCCCACTCAATACTCATATTTCACATGTTTTTTATTTATAACATTTAAAAAATTGTGTTTGTTAAAGATATTTTTTATAACTAAAGACTAAGACTATAGAAAAAGCCATGGAATTACAGTATCTTAAATATTTCAATTTGATGTATTTTGATTGCTTGAATAACAGAATAGACTGCCCTCCCCCCTCCTTTTTGCACATATATTTTATTTTCCTCCTAAAATTGAATCAAAGTTACATATCTTTTAACAATCTCTGAAGTCTACAACTTCCTTCACTTACACTTCTTACAGAAAGGAAATAATTTTCTGTTCACAACAATAATTACTTCTTAAGCTGCATATATCACAATTAGTAATAATTATAATTTGTATGCTCTCTATGAAGCAGAAGAGTATTCTGATGTTTGTTTTCTCTCTGATTATGACCACCTGGAGCTACAGATCAGACCATCAGTTCAGTTTCCACCTGCCATCCTTTTATTATGGCTTAAAGGGGATCATAGTATTTCATATACACCATCTTGTTGTCAGTTAGCAATATCTGTGTTGAACATAAACATTTATATATATACATATCCACAGCCCTCATAATCCTGCAGAAGTGGCATCTTTTCATGCTCCTGAAGAGAGACTAACATGCACAAATGTTTTGCTTTCGTAAGTTAAGTATAGCCTAATGTTCTAGTATTAAGTGCCACTGTTTTACCAACCGGAAGATGCTGGATTTAATATTGCACTATTAATCCATGAGGCATGTTGTTAAACATCTAAATGTTTTACTTCCTTAGTGATTTGATGAAGCTGTTTAAGAAACAAACATGATCAACATTGCAAAACTCTAGCTTATTTAATGAATCCCTACATAAACATGTAAATCTTGGCGTTATGTGCTAGGATTTAATGTAGATATGCTAAACACAGCTAGTGTTAGGAAGGTTTAAATGAGAGTATAAGCATAACCAGTACTAATATGGTAAAAATGAAGACATACTACCCGGTAACTTAGACTAGTGCTAACTAGATAACAGCTAAAGTTACCATTAGCTGGGTATAAATGAAGATAAACCAGTACTGGGTATATCTATGAATGTATCCTAACCTAACTATGGTTAATTATGGATTATAATAAACTAAAACTAACCAAAGATAGTATCAGCTTGGTGTATCAAAGAGTGTAAACTAAAACATGTTAGCTAAGTATAAAGTAAGATAACAAAGCACAGATGTTTTTTTTAACAAGCAGGTATCAATGAGAGTATGCTCACTATACTACATATAGTATAGTTCAATATATCAATCTTGTCATCAAAATAGCTGAAGGGTCTACATTCATCCAAGTATACATTTTATTTAATTTCTCTACGTTAAAAATAAATCATGATATTCTAGTTCTGTACTGCAATATATTGGATATATTGTAATACGTCTTCCAAGGCAATATACTACTACCACTAGAAAGAACTAATATTTGCTGTGTAACATTTAGAAGCCACACTAAAGACAGTCAGTGTTAGCTAGGTAACAATGAAAAAAAAATACAGCTAGTGTTAGCTAAGACACAATAGTAACGAAACAGCCAGTGTTAGCTGGGTAACTTAATACAGCTTAGTGCTAGGCTAAATGACAATAAAGGTATGCTAAACACATTCAGGGCCAGCTGAGTAGACACGAGTGGTTGCACGTAACTTGTTAGCATTTGCTAGAGAACAATAATTGTATACAACTGTTAGATAGGTGGCAAAGAAGGCATACTTACCACAGTTATATCAACTGCCTGCTCTCTTTCTGAACCTCTGAAATGTTAAACAAGATAATTAAGAAGTCATCAAATGAAGCACTCTAAAAATTGCAATATGAACTGATATCCTTTAAGTGCATGTATAATATATAGTAATTTTTAGAGTCACTCTTAGAAGAGTTGACACTAAACTGTTGGTATAATACAAAATTTTGATTTCTGGTACATGTCAGTAGAGACACTGATCTCTCTCTGTTCAAGGTGTGTTCATGAATCTCAATTTCTGGGAACCACTACCTCACTTTTATGAACAGTGATAGTTTCACAGAACCTCAGGTATTCTCTATAATCTGACATTTTTTTCAGTTAGCAACTTTGAAGGTAATTTTAGCAACTTTGAAGGTAATGCATTTCCAAAGAGTTGGAAGAGGAATTATTTTGCCACATCACTTTTTTCGGCACAAAAACTGAACCTAAAAATTTTGCAAAAAATTGCATAACTTTAAAAATTACTCAATACATAGCATTTACAGTGACATTATTAACATTCTTTGAAAGATTATTCCGTAGAACCTCACTTCATTTGAACATCTAGAGTTTCACAGAATCTCGCTTCTCACAAATTTCTACATTGTTTAACTTTTCACAAAAACATCAAGAGTAACATGGGACCTCACTTTTCATGAATATCTCAAGTGGCACATGATGTCACTCTTTATAAATGTCTACCTTGACATTGAAACCTCACTTTTAATGAATGCCTACTGAGACACAGGACCTCATTTTGCTTGTAAGTTGGACAAAAACCTCAATTTTTATAAACTTATAAAAGAAGACACAGACCAATGACCTAACACTAAATGGACATCTACAGGGAACAAAACCTCACATTTTACTAATGGCTATTTGATTTAGTAAAACTGTTTAATAAATGTATTAAATGATACAACAAATTGTTATCTTTTTCACTTCATAAATAGTTTTAAAATGATCTAGCTTGAATCATCATTCTTTGGGGGAAAAAATTGATACCCCTCTTTTTTAGATTTTTTCTTTAAATCTGGCCCAAAGATTTAATGGCAATAATAATCCACAAACATTTTGAAATATTTCTTTTGAATCTTCAGAAGTAAGTATTTCATTCCTTACAAGGATTTTTAAATCAACAGAGTAAAACATGCCATACAAAAAAGTTTCTTTACCTGAAATTTGATGGATTTGCACTAGGAGAATTCTTAGATCCATCTGTAATACCATTTCCTAAAAAAAAAAAAATAAAAAATATTGTGACAGAGAAAAACTTGTATAATTCCTATGCATCATGATCATTAAAATACATTTTCCTCCTGAAAAAATAATTCAAAAAAAAAATCCCATCATTTTCCATTAAAACCCATTTAAATCTTCAATTAAGGCTCTGATATGGACTACTTTTAATACGTTTTTGGATCAGTTTAGAGTCTGTTGATTCATATTCACAAAAGAAGAGTTTATGCAAATGAAGGAACTAATCTCATTTACTAACTATTCCTTTGCATTTACTGACACTGTGATTAGGGTATTTAATTTTCACAGATCAAACGTTCCCTTCAGATGGAATGGTTACCATCTTACAAGACCGGAAATGTTACATCCATCAATAAATAATTCACCTTAGATTTTGAACAGAGACTATTGATTTTCTGTGACATAAAATACATCACCTGATGGCATGTTTTCCAGAAATGATTGCCATTTTACTAGGTAAAAATCAATGCTTTTACATGTAGGTTAAACCAATTTTAGATGGCAGTTTTCTGAACTTGAACAATGAAACAATTTTCTTGTATAATTCCACATCATATGGATAATAAAAGAATAGGTCCAGTTTCCCCTCAGTATTTACATTTTTTTTAAAATTGAATTTTTGAAAGGAATACTGAGAATCTGAATTTTAAGATTTTCATCTTGTATGGATTAGAAAAAAATTATATTGATCCATCTTCATATTTCTTCAAATAATGAACACAAACTTACTTTGGATTTTGAGTTCACCTGTTTTGCTTGCACTCTGAAAAAGAAAAAGAATATATCCATGAATTAAAACTGCGACTCCAATCCATAGTTTTCTGAATCTTCAAAAGATAAAAAAAATCTTACAAAACTCAATCCTGATCTCAAACTCTGTCATGAACAGCAAACTACCAAGTCTCAATCTTATATCTCTAAGTGTAATCCAAAACACAAGAAAACAAAACTATCAAATACTTTTAGTCAATAGAGGCTATAACCTTATAACTGGTAGGAGCTGCATACTTCCCTGCAGCACTTGAACCATGTGATAAATAAAGTATGTGCATGATCTTGATGACATCTTAAAACCCATGTCAATAAAATATACACAAGTACCTGCAGGAATTAAAATGTTCAGAACATAAAGCATGACTTTGTTATTTTCACTCGTGATCCCCCCCCCCCCCCTTCTTTTTATCAGGTTGATTTCAAAACGTGTTTTAAAAATCCTGTAATTCTTATCTCTCTGTAATTTCTTCCTATCATTACATTTACTAAATGACCCATCAATACAAAGGGAAAAAACATAGTAATTTAACATTTTCTCTTTCAAATTCTTAATTAGAAAAAAATGATTGCCTTGACTACAACATACAATTTTTTTTAAAGTTTGTTTTTCCTAAAGGAAAAATTGTCCAAAAACTAAGGGGGAGGAAGGAATGCATGACACAGTAGATTACTGTAAATTTCTTAAAACCCTGTATAAAAATGATCAATGATCTTTGTTAAAACCCATATTAAATAACATGTACTTAAAACTTGATTTTGGAATTTCAGTTTGCTAATATTTCTGGGAACAAAAAACAACAATGAATTTTCTTTAAAAAAAAGTCAATGTTCCTGCTATCAAACTCTTTAATCTTAAAACATGAACTTAGATTTATCTGCTTCTATATTTAATTTCTCCTTAAACACTTCAGATGTCAACAAAAAAACTTCTAAACAGATTCTGTGAAGTCAGCAAGTTTGATAACCTTAGCAGAACTCACATATGACAAAAGTACAATGCAGTCAATTTTAAAACCCTAAAACATAATTCCACACAACCTCCTTTTGTCCTCGGCAATAACCGTGGCCATCTGTGACCCGCTCTTCTCAATGATACTACTTATTCTTTACAATCAGATGATCAATATAAAAAAATATTAACATTTTTACTTTGTAACACCTTGATACCCTACATGAAAGGTCTATCTCTTTATTTCATTTCTATGATTTGCAACATTTTTAATGACCTACTATCTAGGGATCTGGGTTACTTTAACACACAAATCAATACCATGATTATATAACATCTGTGTATTCAGTGTTACTATTCTACAAGTGGTACCTTGCTGGTGGGGGAACTAGTTGGAAATGGGAACTTCTCTTCCTTGCGAGGGGTTTGAATGGCAGTGTGCGGTTGATGCATTTGAGTCATCTCCTGCAAATCAGTTTCATAATTATATGGTTTTTCACATTTCCCCAATCAATGATTTTCATTCTTTCAAATTAAAAATTCATAAAATGTTATTTTGAAAAAAATGTTAATAAATGTTAATAAAGAATTCCAAATACATTCTTATTTAGGCATTAGCCTGCATTTCCATTTTATTGTCTATTCCTATTATTCTTTCCATTTTATTGTCTATTCCTATTATTCTTTCCATTTTATTGTCTACTCCTATTATTCTTTCAAGAAGATCATGATTTATGGTTCATCATCCCTCTGTTTTTGCATTTATGTTATATTTTTTTCAAAGAGAACTAATTCATAACCAGAAGTCTCTGATGAGATTGTAGCTCTGCTGGTTAAGGAAGAGAAAAGTAGCACTTGGACTTGAAACAATATCAACATCAATAAAATGAATAAATGATCCTGGGTTAAGTCTCTCTGTGTGAAAAGTTTTAATGCATTACATTAAAACTTTGTAGGAGGAATAGCATTCTGAAAGAATTTCATAGAAATTTCTATTTATTATTACATGGCAACACCATTTATAAATTTTTTTAAAAAATCAAAAAGGAGAATTACATAAATTATATCTATGTGATAATGTATGGAAATGTGCAGTCTACTTGTATACAAAATTTTACAAAATTAAGACCAAAAAGTTAGAACAGTAGCATTTTTTAAAGGATTTCAATGATATTTCTATTTTTAGTAACTTTTGACAACACCCTTCATCTAAATTTAAAAAAAAAAAATTGTCTCTTAGTGTAGTTTACTTGTGCACCCAGTTTTATTGAAATCAATCAGGAACTTTAAAACAAGCAGCATTCTAGGGGGAAAAAAATGTTTATAGACAGAGACAGAGATGGACAGACAACAGACACCTTACTATCACATAAGATCTTCTGGTCTCTAACCAGTAGAGCGAATAAAAATGCACAAAATTTCAGCATACTTTGTGGGGCAAAAGGGATATAGTATAATAGTCAGTCAGCCCCCTGAGAGTTAACTCTTATCAGAGGGTCAGTGACCCTAAGTCACTTAAATTTTAGAGAGAGAGAAAAAAAATCAATTTGTCATAAAAGATTCTTGCAAATGTTGAAATTTTCTATTTTTGCTATCATCATCTACAGAGGACTTCTCATAAAAGACCGTACCTTTAAAATATCTTCAACACTGTCCACCTCCTGAAAATAACAAGAAGCATGATTAAGGTGTCAAATCTGCAACATCTTTGTCTAACCAAAGTTATCAAAATCCTGATAAGCTGGGGTCAAACAATGAGATTTGAGATTTTTTGTCCATCTCAATTCTGGGCATTTATAATGTAATTTTTGTTCAGAATACATCAAGTCTGTACATGTCATTATTTGAATTTACTGAAATCAAAGTGAGGGGAAAAAAATAAGCATTCATAATGAGTTCCCACAATAATTCAAGGTAAATGATTTTTAATTTGTAAAAAATTATACTTTTCAAAATATGACTGCGGCACAAAAACAAGAGGCCCAGGGGCCACATCACTCACCTGAGCACTGTGGCCAGGAAAAAAGGAAAATCAGTTTAGTATTGAAAAGCTTAAATGCATAAATGGTCCCAACCTACCCCTAAAAGGGAGTGGGGGGGGGGGGGGGGGTATGACTTGAACAAAATTAAATCTACACTGCTTACATAATTTTTTGACTAACTGTGACTTTTTCTCTACAAGCTTAAACTTTCATTGTGGCCCCACCCTACCTCTGGAGGTCATGATTTGAACAAATTTGAATCTACACTATCTGAGGATGCTCTCATATAAATATTACAAACTGTGGCTTTGCTGTTCTTGAGATTTTTAAAGGTTTTTCTTATATATTCCTATATAAAACTTTGAACGTTCATTGTGGCCCCACCCTACCCCCGGGGGTCATGATTTGAACAAACTTGAATCTACACTACCCAGGGTTCTCACTAGGATTTTGCTAACTTGAGAAGATTGCGTCCCAGCTAAATTTGATGCGTCCCAGAAAAATTATGTTGAGTCCCAACTATAAATTAATGCAGTATCCTTCCATCCAAACATCAATAAAAATCTTTATCATTTTATCAGTTTGTTTTAACGCAATATTAAACATATTCAAGTATATAAACTGGTAATGCATTCAAGCCATATTCTAAAATACACGCGTAATCAATTGCCATAAAAATAACTTGGTGTTTATAAAGCTAAAATTAACTGTTGCATAATCAAGTAGTACCCAAAAAATGACTGTACACAATCACAGGTGTCATGTGCAATGAGGCGTAACTAATCCTGTCGGTCGTCTGCACTGGGTGAAATTCACGAGATAATCAAGCCGTATTGTGTATACAAGCAGTAATTATGGTTTCTACATGTAGATAACACTCAAGATTCAAAAGTGTTTTTTTTTAAAAAGCTGCAGTGTGTTTACAGCTGTCGGAGTTTTGCATGCGAAGCTATTATGACTATGGACTAATAAACATGAAATATCTTGTGATCAATCCCTGTTTAAAAAAAAGAGAAATAAGTACAAGAAAAGTTGTTCCTTGTATAAACTTTATGATAGTTACAGGAAGGTTTCGATTAAATATTTCTTTGACAAATCCTAACATCTAAATTCCCCGTTTTCGAAATCATTCGTATTTTCTCGCTAACGAGGACGCGTCCGATCATGAGTCCGCGGACGCATCGTTTTTAAGAACCTTGCGTCCCAAGTAATTTTGCTGCGTCTAGGACGCAGATTCTTGCGTTAATGAGAACCCTGACTACCTGAGGATGCTTTCAAAAAAATATATCCAATCAAAGCTTTGCTGTTCTTGAGAAGAAGATTTTTTAAGATTTTTCCTATGTACACATATGTTAAACTTTGATCGTCTATTGTGGCCCCACCCTTACCCTGGGGGTCATGATTTGAACAAACTTGAATCTACACCACATGAGGATGCTTCCAATATAAATATGATCAATCATGGCTTTGTTGTTCTTGAGAAGATTTTTAAAGATTTTTCCTATATATTCCTATGTAAAACTTTGATCGTCCATTGTGGCCCCACCCTACCCCCGGGGGTCATGATTTGAACAAACTTGAATCTACACCACATGAGGATGCTTCCATATAAATATGACCAATCATGGCTTTGCTGTTCTTGAGAAGAAGATTTTTGAAGATTTTTCCTATATATTCCTATGTAAAACTTTGATCGTCCATTGTGGCCCCACCCTACCCCCTGGGGTCATGATTTGAACAAACTTGAATCTACACTACCTGACAATAATTCCATATGAGTTTCATCTTTCCTGGCCCATTGGTTCTTGAGAAGAAGATTTTTCAATAATGCCATTAATTTTTTGCTATTTTGTAATTATATCCCCTTTGAGGAGGGAGTGGCCCTTCATTTGAACAAACTTGAATCCCCTTTACCCAAGGATACTTTGTGCCAAGTTTGATTGAAATTGGCCCAGTAGTTCTGGAGAAGAAGATGAAAATGTGAAAAGTTTACGACAACAACGACGCCAACAGACAACGGACAAATTTTGATCAGAAAAGCTCACTTGAGCCTTCGGCTCAGGTGAGCTAAAAAAAGCTTTTTCTCTTGTTTAGTGTCATGCATTTATGAAAACAAATTACAATTATTCCCCCATGAAAAGATATCTTACATTTCTAACAAATCCTTTTCAAATTATCTGTTATCTATTAATAAGAAAGTCATTATCTCTATCATAAACACACCCTTTTCCCCAAACTTCAAATGAAATACCCAGGAAATTATCACCAGTAACTATATATTTAGTTCTATTATCAGAACATGGTTTCTATTTTTGGATTAAGTTCTTAGAAATAGATACACATATTATTACTTTTTTTATTCCAGTATATTTTTAAAATACTTTTTATTACCTTGTTGATTCGAAGTGGTGGAAGATTATGTTGTTTATTTGGCTTCAATGGAGCAGGAATGCCATTCATAGAGTGGTATTTGTTCTTACTACTCCCCTCCCCTTTCTCCTCACCCCCTCTCCCATTAACTGGTCCATTCTTTGTGGGGGTGTTCTGTCCCTTTTTTATTGGGCTTGGTGACCTGTATTCCTTTTTTATGGGATGATGAGATTTGTGCTGATCTGCTTTCAGACCATTGGACGCTGAGGATGGTAGGTGTGGCTTCTTGTCTGATGAGGAGCCTGGATCACGAGATGAAGCACTGCGCTGTTTGTCAAGATAACTCTGATAAGTATATGATTTTGCAGGAACATTTTTAGGGGTATTTCTATCTTCCAGTGATCTTTTGGCTCCTTCTGTCTCTTTAGAATTACTAGTTCTAGAATCTAGTTTTCTATCTGGGAATGACATCCTCTTTTTATCTGGTAAAGGTGTTGCAGGCTGCTGGGTAATGCCTATAGCATCTCTGTAATTCTCCATGTTACATTTTCCTAAGGTTGCTTGAATTCTCTGGGCTATTGGATCTATATTTTTCTACAAATAAAAGTTAAAAGACTTAAAAAAAATCTCTTTCCATTCTTTTTTTTACAATGGCTTCATTGATTGCTTAAGTAGTTATTCCTTCTATTCTACTGTATTAAGTATGTTGCAGCTGCATAAAACTTCAAATTCTTGCCAAAGTGTTACACCTACAGATGAATGAATGTACAAGTATGTGTAGGTACATGTACTGAAACATTGTAAGATGAACTAATATAAACAGAAACACACAAGCTGTGGTGTCACATATATATTCTTAACAGCTTCAGCTGATTTACATCTCCCAAGTATCTTTTTCATGATAATAGTCAGGAAATTTCATATTGTCAGAAATTTGGCCCTATTGAAATTTTATTGATTACTCTAAATTCAACGTATGCTAAATGTATTGAGACTGCAGTTTGTTTCTAAACAATTTCTAGGCCAATAATTTTTGTCATCATTCACAGATTGTAAAGTCAATTATATTCTGCATTCCCTTTTTAATTTTCATTTTGAAAAAATAGGTCATATAGATTATCAACTACTATAAATAATGTAGTTCATCTGTGTCAATGACCAAAATAGACTGTAGTTCCAACAAAACTTGTGAAAATAGAACTATCAATGTGTTATATTTGGAGGGAAAATGGTATATAGTGTTATATTTGGTGAGGGGTAAATGGCATATTGTATTATATCTAGTGGGTAAATAGCACTTTTTTTTTTACCTGGTTATTAATAAAAAAGGAAGAGGAAGGTACTAAGAGCACTACCTGTGTGAATATTACACACTACACAACTGTGTCTTTAAAACTGGAAAACTTCCATGAGAATATCTCAGGTAGAAGGAAGAGAGGACTTAAATAATCTATTACAAAACTGGCAATCAATCAAACACTGACAATACAGGTGCTATACTGGCCTCACTCACAAGTTTCTAAACACAGCTTAAAAGGTAAACAATCTAGGAATACCTTATATACATTGGCTGAAATGCTTTCTCCCCACTGTGTTTAAGGATAACAAATTAACAGTTTTAAATAGCCTGTGCAATGCAATTTCCAAGATCAGTAGACGAGTGGAGGATCAGTTATTTATTATGTCTCTTTTCAAGCCATCCATCAAATCAATTCTATTTGATCATGGACAAACACATATGTATATGACCAACTTGCTTAAGAAGTTTATGAGTAGCTTGACTTGCAGATCTTTAACTGATTAAGACTTTTAATTCATTAAAAATTACTTCAGCCTGTTGAGTTCAGTGGATTAAATGGTTAAGGGAATACTTATTAAATATGTGGTACCTTTTTCACTGGCTCAGAGAAGAGACAAGTGTTAGCGACAATATCATTCTTCCTCTGTCCTTCCATAAATTTGCGGGCCTGGTTTTCCCTTTCTCTCCGAGCCTGCTCTTTTTTGATCTCCATACTACAATTAAATGAACATTTTAACTAATGAATCACCACATACTACCTTTGCTTCTGTCTGTTAAGTGTATTAACTTTTTTTTTTTAATTTCAAAACGATAACACTGTAGGATTGGTTACCAATCAATGCTACTACTGGATAAATTCAACATCTGCCAAATGCTGAATCTTGCAGAGAAAATGCATTTTCTACTAAATTTTTCACAATCAATCAATCATCAAAGATATACAGTGTATATCATATTAAAGATAATGTCTTCATGCCTACAAAGATACCACTGAAGTATAACTATATTCATAATATTATGGCTTGAAGTCATTCACCTTCATGCACATTGTGAATGACAACAGCAAAATTAATACCAATATCTTCATCGACATATTAATCTACTAAATGAAAAATAAGAGGATCTTCTTAGACTTTATCATTAGTACTTATAATCTATTTCTGCATTCTCAAGAGATAAAGTTATCTTACATGGGCTAACATGTTAAATCCATACACATGCTTACCAAATATGCCCCAATAAGAGCCTAGGGCTAAGGCACTTCAAAATATTGAAAAAGCTAGTCCTTAGATTTACCTTTGATAAATTATGGTACATAAAAAAGGATAAACATATCAAAACACACTGATAAGAAAACGTACAGGTTTGTCTTTATTAGACTATCTTGTTCCTTTTATGGAAAATAAAATTAACTGACAAGAATTTAAATATGCTTTTTACTAATGTACAATGCAGGATGGATAAAAATTAATCACAGATGATGTTCTTCGAATGATACAGGGACATTCAGTAGGGCTTACCAATGACCAGGTTAAATCACTAATGGAAAGTTTATCAGTAAGATCACATAAACCTTTATTTATGTTCAATCTTACAATTTTACTTGGTTATTTAAAACCCATCATCCACTATTTAAATCATATCATGAAAGTCTAGGTAAAAGAATTTTCATTCACTTTTGTTTTTGTGTGCATTTTTTGTATCAAAGCCAGGAGTTTTCATGGATACTGAGATGTTTTGGAACCAATTGGTAGGGAAATTCTAGACACACAATTCAATCTGTGGATTAATTACTGAAAACAGTGACATTGTTGGAAATTTGCCTCAAATGTTAGTAAGGGGAGGGGGTGGGAAGGGTGAGGGCAGCATTTCTTTTTTTCAATGAAAATCACCATGAATCAGGCTCATGGGTGCTTATTTGGGCAAATTCAGTAAAGACTGTTAACAGTAATTTCCATGTTGAATTGAATGTAGTAATGAATATTCTAATGTCTTATAATGACACATACACTAGTCATGATGATTTATGAATAATGCTGTTCAGTAAATGCAAACAGATAATATATATGAGATTTCCCTGCACTACTAGACATTAGCTGCCCCTATACCATGCCACCATGCTCCATAAATTCAAAGTACTAAAATCTTCATATTTTTCCCTCTCTGCAATAATCACATGATTAATGTCAAATAAACACACAGTTTTACTGACCCAAATATGACAGTATATTATTCTTTTCACAACTGTCCTTGGGAAATAAGGTAAGACCAGTAGAAGTTCAAGATCATACCAAAAAACACAGAAATATCAAGGCAAAACTTGGCAAGCAATACACTTATATAAAATATACTTCAAAAGACTAAAAAAAAATGGTTGATTTTCATCTTAACTTTAAGCAATATGTTTAAACTGCACCAAGTGCAAATTCATCATTATGATTTAGACAGATTCTTAACATGTTTAACATCATAAACATACAAATTCCCACATATTTCTGTATAGCATATGAAAAGCATTATTCTATGTACTACATATGTCAGTTAATAGCTAATTAATAAGTTTCTTGCTTTGTCATGTGTTGATAACAGTTATGAAAATTGAGGTCTGCATACAGCTCTTTCATACTATAGTTTGAAAAAAAAATCTTAATTTTCATTCCTGTCTACTTCCACTGAAATGAAAAGTTTTTAATAGCCTACAGTATACATTTATTGACAGGGTTCAAGGGCAACATGCATTTCATCGGACCCAAGAACCAAACTGTTTGCCTTAGGCCCTTAGTTTTACTGAGCGGTCATAAAAAAATCAATGTTTGATCGCAGAGCGAGATATTGGACCTGTCTATGAGATGTCGGACCGCTTACGTCACATTGTGGGCGGGGTCAGCTGTATCTTATTTGCATTCGTTGGAATTTGACAGAACTTTACAGAATTGACCAAGTTTAGACCGCAGTGCGGGTAAACAAAATTTACATCATGTTATGTCAAAATAAAAAGTAAAAGGTATAACAAAACATTTATTGACTGTGGTCTCGGGCAAAATGCATTTCGACCCCTTGAACATAACTGTTTGCCTGAGGCCTAATGCCCTCGAACCCAGTCAATAAATGTATATTGTGCCCAAGTACACAGTCCATAAATGCTTTGTTATAACTTATACCTTTAATTTATTTATTTTATTATTATCTTTTTTTTGGACATACATGTATGTCAAACATCAACGAATGCAAATGAGATTTAGCTGATCCCGCCCATTGTGTGATGTAAGCGGTCCAATATCTCATTTCAAACAGATTTTTTATGACCGCTTAGTAAAATGTTGAAAATGTTATACTTTAATTACTGGTAGTATTGATTTTTACACAAAGTTTTAACAATTTTTTAAAGGTATAAGCACATGGGTACTTGGGGCCAGCCCCCACTTGCATGTGGGTATAACAATGCTTTTTAATACATTTTAAATAAAACACATTGTTTATAAAATGAAAGAAAAAGTGAGCAAGCTCACATACCCCACTCTCCCCCAAAACTCGACAATGCAACACGTAATGAATGGCACAGTGCATTTTAAATACACACTATTCATCTCTATATTCAAGATATGGCTAAAAATCTAAGTTGAAAAGTGCTGAAATTTCCAGAAAAAATAAAGGAATCGGAATTTCCTGGTAATATGCACATCTACAAATTGTGTCTTAAATATCTGCAAAGTTTGACAAAATTCTGTGCAGCGGTTTATGAGGAGTTGCGCTGACAGAAAAACAGGACTGACGGACTGACTGACACACTGAATGACTGACACACTGACTGACGGGTCAAAAACATTATACTTCACGCAACTTGTTGGGGTATAATTATGCATTAAGAAAATTATCATAGGTCAGCATGAATATTTTGAAAATTTTGTTTGTTTTTTTAACTTACACAGTTAAATTAATCTTTTGTGAAATAAAAATCTTCAAACAGAGAGTGATTATTTTCATTTCATCTATGACCTTCATCTTTGTCAATTTGGAACACAGTGTCATTATTTACATGATTGAACTCAACATCATGATCATTTCACCAGATAACTCCTCTAAATATGTGGATAGGCTACTGGATTATTGTTTGCCAGCACTTGGGCATTAAATGTCAAAAAGACTACTCTGAAATTTATGACCAGTGTACAGTTTACATGAGTGTAAAGCTACTATTAAACAGTACATCTGCCTTAGCTATCAAGAAATCTACAATCTTATGGGTACAGCAGTTTATTGCAACTTATATTTACTAAACGAAAAATTTTACCGGAATTGAAAGGCTCAAGCTAATTAAACAAATTAAATGATTCAATACTAAAGAAATTCTTTATGAAATAATTTCACCTTAATATTGTTCTTCATTCACAATAATAAACAATCGTGTGTGTGTTCATTTGTATCAATTTATAAAATCTAAAAACCAAAGAAGCCAAAAACTTGAGAACATGTGAAATGCGGCACACTGGCAAAGCCAGAGTTTAGATACAACAGTTACTATAACTCTGAGAAACAGAGAGAAATATATATGAGCCTGTAATGAACAATCTCCCAGATCTTGGCTAATTCATGCTGACTTGGCATTGGTTTCTCACTCCATAGTGTCACAGACAAGTATAGATAAATGAGAAAATAGTGCTACTTTTTCCTTTCCCTTTGTATACAGATTTTGTAAGAAAAGTCTTTATATAGAATACAAAACTTCACTCCAAAAGCTTCATTTCTTTTTTTCTCCTATATTACTTCTGTATTACAGATTTCTTAAAATTACAACTAAGCGTGCAGTTTAAATTAGCAGACTTCAAGTATGTCTGCTTTGCTAAAAAAAAAATACTTCAAATGAAACAAAAACAATAGCAAATCAGATGTAACTAGTCTGAAAGTCTATAAAATATTCAAAAGAAATGTGTGCATATGTTGGTCATGCTCTAGATTGGTATTTTAATTAATCAACAATTAGGTAAGTTAAAGGGAATGGGGACTGCTTTTACCTCACCTGTATTCATTTATCACCATATATACCTACATTAAATAGATAGTTGACCCAAATTTACAAAAACACCAAATGACTAAACCTTACACTGCTTTTGATGTATCAGAATGATCCACAAATGTATTCCAAACTGACATTGCACAAAAGTGGGGTAACATAAGCAAGGAGTATTTTATCTGAAACATTGTTAAAGGTTCCATTCTGCAATATTTCAAGGAAGAAAACAAAGATGATAACCTCAGCACTCACAATAAAAAATTTTAAGAATTTAATTCATTTGAAAAGTTATAGTCCTATTTATAACAAGGACATCATGTTTCAAAATAATGTTAGTGTTTATATTAATGTAATGTAATAATAGTGGGGGGGGGGGGGGGGGGGGGGTTAGTCCTAAATGTAATAATGTTGTGCTTGGGGGGGGGGGGGGGTGTCATTCCTACTTAATGAGTGTAAACCATTACCAAACCCTGCATCAGAACTCTTAACTAGGAAAAAAAATACTTTGACTGATGGCTCCACAGTGAAACTCTTCTCTGGTGGCCATACATCAGGACTACATGCTACATGTATCACAAAGCAGGGCCACAACTACATCAATTGCCTCACTTCAGATCTACCATAGTATAACCAGCAAATCAACAACATGAATTATATTCATACTACAGGTAACTCTTGATGGCTCGAACTTTGATCTCTCGAAGTTCTTGATCGCTCGAAGTGAATCTTCGGTCCCGAATTTTTCCCCATTATAACTAAGCAAATTTACTCTTGATTTCTTGAACTCTTGATCTCTCGAAACCCTTGATCCCTCGAAGTCAAAATGCAGTCCCGCTATGCATATTCTATTATAATTTCCCCTCGATACCCTCGAAGTGGCTTTGTGTATACAAGGTTATATAATTAGCACCTTTACCTAGACATTTAAATGGCCCCAGGCAGAAGACGCGGGTCTAGAGGAACGGGATGTTTATTAAGGTGAGACTATGCTGCAAGGTGATAATTGATTTATAATTAATCATTTTTTGCCTGTATGCTGTTAAAAAATTATCGTCAACTGTCTTACGATAATTTAGAGAGGCAGTGTCATTGAAAAGTAGTAATTGATTAAAAGACGAAACACTAATTTAAATTTTTATTTCGAGTCAGTGTCAAAGTTAAACGAAATATGAAAAAGCAGAAACAGCCTCAATGTCAATATGACGGCTATTATTGGATGAATACTTACAGAACTGCGCTCAATGATCATGTTTGGAATAGTCAATGCTATACATGTAAGACGCTGTAAAATGTCGTTTTCGTGTAACGAATGCGTAGTATGATGTCCATATTACAAAACTAAATAAATATACATGAAATGACGATATACATTTTTGCTTTACTCAGTTTAATGAAATATTCATCTAAAGTATGAAAAAATATCGTTGTTTTATAAAAACCACGTGTAAAAGGTTATCACTGCGTGAAAATCGTTATATCCGGTAAGACTAATTTTAAAACCTGTCAACAAACCCGGAAAATTCCGGACTCTTGAAAACTCGAACTCTTGATCTCTCGAAGTTTTTCCTTGGTCCCGCGGACTTCGAGGTATCGAGAGTTACCTGTATCTAGAAAAGCCACAAGTTGACCACTGGCTCCAAATCATTTCAAATACTACCAAGCAAGATCACATCATGATCTTTAACCTTACATCAGAACTAACACATCTGTGTCTTGACCAATGGCCTAACTTAGAACTATTTATACTTAATAACAAGATTCAACCCTGACAGTTCCTCCCACATCAGGACCATTACAGGGCAATGTCATAAGTAGACTAATGGCCCAAATTCAAAAATATTACAACTATATATATATATATATATATATAGATATAGATATATATATATATATAGTTCTCAAGAAATGTCACACTTTGAACAAGGCATTGAATATTTAAGAAAAAAATAACACTGAGGTATGAACTGATTTACAATATACTGTAAACTAAATTTTATTCGCGTGCAAGAAATATCCGCGAGTTTCGCGACCTACTTTAACTCGCGAATATTAAACACTGTGAACCATTTATTTTGCTTTGTTTTAATAAAGAATATTCCCTAAGTCGCTAAAACTAATCGTCGTGTATTGATTTCAAACTGACAAATCGTGCATAAAAGATGACGCAAATAATAGTTGGTTTACAGTACATGCAGTTTAGTATGATTTACATGTAAAATTGTACCTATGCAAAAATATGCATAAATAATTGCTTTTGTAAATATAGAGTAACAAGGGCACCACAAAGCAGAGCATTCCCTCCATCAATCCCGACGTGAATTATTACTTGCATAACTTGCGTAACTTCCGTTACGCAAACATGCACTGATTCACACACACACACAAGGACACTACTATATATATCCCTTCCAATTTTGAGGGGATAATAAGTTAAAACAGGTGTTCAAAAAAAATTGAATAAACACAATAATGAATGTTTTAAAAAATTTGTATGCACACATTGTATAACACATGAAGTTGCAAAGAACAAATGATTTATTAAACCAAACTGTTTTGACTGCAGAGAACTCTACCACTTAACTGTTACTATCTAAGTTACACATACAAATTATTTCCAGTGAAAGGGACATAAAAAAAAACTTATCACTTTAAAGGGCATCAATTAATCACTGCTTCAAAACCAAATTATTAAGATACTTTATAAAATTGTACACAAAACTGAATATGGTAATACAAGTGTACTTCAAATGAAAGCATTCATGCACTTATTTCCTGAACAACCTTACTTGCTCATTTCACATGTAGGATATGATAATAAGAATATCATGTTTATATGTAGGAGAATATCTGTATCTATTGAATTTTCTTGCAGAAGTATGTGATAGAAAAGTGCAATAAAGTATAATTTAAATACAATTGATTGATTGTTTGTAGTTTTACATTCCTTGTAAGATTACTTCACTCATATGAAATGTCACCATATGCTGATGAAGGGACTCAAATTTAGACCTATATGTAAGGGGTAATGTAGAAGTAGCACTCCTTAAGTGTAAGGGAGCCAGGGCCCCGAAGAGGCCAAGACCATTGCTTTTAAGGAATGGTGCTATGACTGTGAATATACTGAACTGCTTAAAATCCACTGTTTTAAATGCTGATAAATATAAACTTAACTTATTAGTGGTATTTATTTTAAATAGAGTGTATAGGAAAAAAATAGTTTACTGAATTTATTTAAATCCACAATTCTTCAACACTTCTATAGTGTAGTGAGACGAGTTTCTGACTTTGATAGTGAAGGTACTGAGTCCAACTCCCCCAACCCCCACCCCCCGCCCCCTCCCCCCCAGAAAGCTTTTTCTTAATATGAAATTATAATTTTATAAAATTTACTAAGGTCTTGCCCAGGTGGGGGCACAGGAAGGAGAATTTGTACATAACAAACACTGTTTTCAATGTAAATTGTATCCTTCCATTCCTTTAGAGTAATGGAGCGCTCAAACAAAAGAGTGACATCATAGATATTAAAGGACACTCAGGGCTTTGGAGTCGTGAAGGATCTTCATCCTGCCAATGCCTGGATACTTGTTTTTTAATGTCTCTTCTGAAAAACCTGCAGTTTTTACTTTAAAATTCCTAGCACTAAGGCACCTTAAGTTTTTTTCAACAGATACTTGTGTTTTGCAAGCAAATTTTGAGACAAAAATATTTTTTCCACCCAAACTTACTTGTGACAAAATAAATAATGCTAGATGCTTCAATAAAGTCAATTTCACTCAAAAATTCTCTTACGATACCTGTGAAAGTTTTCAAAATCACAATGATTTTTTCAAAACTAAGAATGCCAGATGTCTATCAAACATGAGTTATAAGCTTTCTAAGGCATTTAGTTCTGTTTGATTGTAGATATATAATAAATTCGGTTTGATAACAATCATTGTAGATTCTGAAATATGTGAGCTACAGAAGTCTATTCTTCGGAGATATACAAAGGACAGAAACCAAAACTGAGGCCTTCTAAAATTCTTGGAAATTGATCATTACTGAGGCATTTACAATATGTACATGCCAATAATATATCCAACCGATGTTTGGGGCAGCTCAACTTGTAGTCGTTTTTTTCTTAATAAGGGGGAGGGAGGGGAAAGAAGAGAGTGAAGATTAGAGATGTTCAATATCAAATTTAGGGGGCACATTCTTTTATACTTTTGGAAAGTTTCATTTTTAACTTTTTCTCAAAAAAATATTGAAAGAGGGGTAAGATCTCTGACCAAAATTTAAAGGGTGTTTTGCCGGGGGTAGTTTTCTTTGGAAATCCAGTGATTACAGTAGTTTTCATTCTACCTCGAGCTCATATTGAAGTGGAATATTTACTAGTTGAACACTGAATGACCCAGTGTCTGTGGTACATGTTTGAGCACTAGCAATTGTCATGACAATACTCGAACCTCATGAGCATATCCCATGTTTACTTTTGTCCAGCATCTGCCTTTGTATTTTAATATTTAGAGAGAACTTTTCAACACTTACTGTAACAATTTAACTCTGAAATTATTTGTTACCAAGACATTTAACTCTAAATTCTCAGGAAGTTGTCAGGATACTTCTTCCCTAGTGATTTGTCATAAAAACAGAATTCCATTAATAATTTTTAAAAAAAATAATTGTGTGTGCATAGTAAACATATCAATGGCACATATATTGAACCACAAATCTAAAATTCTCAGTGAAAACTAGTTGATATGAAAATATGCATGTAAACGTGTCTTTAAGCAAGAATAGTGAAAAGTCGGGTCGGGTAGTTCACTTTCTTTGGTGTCTGATTTGTTGTCTAGCATATCTGAACAAGGCCATGCAGAGATGTCAAACAGTTCAACGCTCCTTATATGGATGTAGTGCTTTTAGGGATATATTTGGTTATCAACGTACCTGTTCCTTGTGTGGTCCATTGTGATTTCAATAAATTTTATGACTGTTTCCAATATACAGACTTAGGAATTTAGAGATAATGTTTGTGACTTCATGTCATTCCACGAAGAAGTGGTCCCAATATGTCTATTTCGTCTACATTATGACACAAGTTCCATGTACGTTTCACAACACTAAACTGATTAAAGTCGATGCTCTGTACAAACAAGTTTTGGTATGAACATTGGAAGTTCCATCAGTCATTCGTAGACAGAGATATGAAAATTTTCACAAAGATAAATATAATTTCTGGAGTATTCAGCAGTTTTCCTCCATTATTACCCTATTTACAGATGTTCGGAAATAAGGCAAATTCTTCCGCGACGTCAACATAAATACAAAAAGATTCTTTAAAATATGTATCTAAGCAATAATTGTTTTGTTTTGTTCTTCTAAGAATTGTTGATACAAAAATCAACATGATCTAGTTACTTTTGTTATTATTCGGATATTTTTCATAAATGTAACTTCAAATCATTCTTATTACATCGGAGTGAGGTCAGGAGGAGTAAATAGGCTTTCGTATTTCCTCGGACCTTTCCGTCATGTATACGAACTAACAAGTTGCACCGGAAAGCTCCGAGTGTGTGCGATTCCAGTGTCCGTGCAATCTTTAACAATGTGAAAACTCAGGATAAAAAGTGGGTAAGTTTTTTTTATTATTAAAAAATAACTTATGAATATGAAGTTAATAATGGGAGGAGAAATTTTCGGAATTAATTTTAAAAAAATAATTGTTTCCTGAGGTTAAAAAAAATGAGTCGGGCCGTTTTCAGTCAGTCGGTCGGGAGAAGGCAAACTAACATTTTTTTTTAAGATGGCCTAATATAAAACTATTTTTCATGTATTCATGTATGCAAAATTTTAAAAAGTTAAATAAATATGAAATAAAATTAAAGGCTGTGTAATAGTCTGCAGAGAGAACTATATTTTTGCCCTTATAAAATAAAAATTCTTATATTTTCTTTTACATTTTTTCCCTTTTATTTTAAGAATTGAAATTTTCATTCGTTTAGGTCCACAGATTGACCGTCCTCATCACCTAGATTTCCCCTGTTTCACTTGCTACATACATAAGTATTACGATAATACATAGTAACTTAGTTTATATGTATTTACCATACTCTTGGAAAACAAACAAATAAAAAAAAAACCAAATAAATAAATAAATAAATAAAGCTTTGATCTACCTCTACGCCTCTCGGTCACAGTGAACAATTTGGAAGGAGAAACAAATGTGAGTTTCATTTTCTTTATCGTCCTTTTTTCAATTCTCAAATTGCTCCCAGAAGATTGAACTTGTTCAAAGCATAAAGGAGCGGTGAAAGGGGGTGGGAAGGAGGCGTGAAATTAACGGTATGCACATACTTAATAAATATTATTTCAGATTCTTAGAAAAAAACATTAAAAAAAATTATGTTATTTATATCTTTATTTCTGATGAATAAAATGCTACGCATCCTGTTGGTTGAAGGTTTGTGTTATTTCGTTTAAACAGTATAATTAAATATCTCGTTTTTAATTTAAGGGGCTTCTACACAGATTTGAAGTTCATACTTTCTCAAGTTTTCTGTAAAATATCATAATTTAACACCGATGTTGCTATAGCATTTCACACTGAAAAATAAGAAAGTATGTTCAAAATCTTTTTATTAAATTATTGAAACTACGAATTTCGGGACGCGTTTGATTGAGACATCCTTGCACTTTCACAAATAAACAATACTTAAGAAAAGTAGAAATTTTATTCTGTATAAATGAAAAATATTAAAACTATATTCCAGAAAATTTAGAGTAGAAATGTGAGAAAGCAAAACCAACTCACCACTATTGTCAGTCCGTGATCAGTGATGTGTGCATAGTTTAACAAATCGAACAAACCCGGTGAAACGTAAACATCAACAATAGCAGAGCTTGTACCATATTCACAAAAACATTTGTTTGACCTGATGTAAAGAAGAATTTCGTTGTTATAAACATGGCCGTAGGAACCGGGGGGCACGGGGGGGGGCGTGCCCCCCCCCAATAATTTTGCCGATATATAGAATACTATAGCTTGTGCCCCCTCAATAATAACGTCTGATGACCTTTTTTTGCTTGTCAAGGAATTTTGGTAGTTGATAGTGCCCCCCAAATGAAAATGTATGTTTGTGCCCCCTCAAAGTGAAATTGCTTCCTACGGGCCTGATAAAATTCTAAGAATATTCATTTAAGTTTAATTTATTTAACTGGTTTATCTTTATTTTATTTCTCTTTTTTTTGTTTTTGTTTTGAATAAGCATAGAAATTTAAAATGTAAACAATGCAACTGTGTTCAGGTCTCTTTAAAGTGATCTTTCATATATTCTTGCTGATGTTGACAGAAACAGCCTGAATAATGCAATGGTACCTAGCCCTGTCGTGTGTGTAGAATATTTTACTTGAGTTGCGTATGCGTCGTATTTTGAGGGAGAAAATATTTTATTTAAAAAAAGCAGAAAGGGGGAGAACGATAAATGAAACAAAATTAAAAAAAAAAGTTTTAAAGAATCCAAAAATCAGAGAAGGGGGGGGGGAGAGGGTATCCGGATTTTTAGAATCCTACCTTCTGCAATTCTACCCACGCCATTTAGAATAAACTGTCCCATAATTCCAATAATCATGGCGACTGGTTTTGAAATCGACGATTTGGTGTGGTAAGAAAACAGTGCAGATCACACGTTCTTTTGTTTCATCAGTGGTTTTGCAGGTCAGAAATGTTTTGGTATTAATTTTATATCTATACTTGCAGGGCAAAGATGAAGGGATTTCCGGCATGGCCGGGAAAGGTAAGCACGAACACCGACTCTTCTCCGGTTTATCTTCTAGACTTACTCAGAGTTACCTGCCCATTCGTAATACCCAGCATATTTTCAGCCAAATTTTTGATAAATATTTCTTAATAATCACATTGAACCTCCACTGATCTCCCATTTGATAACAATGAATCAACAAACATACGTCTGTTTTGAGAAGGGCAGAATGATTTTAATGTATCAGCGTTGAAAGGGAGGTAATTCAAAACAAATAATGATGCCGTAGGGTGAGTTGATATTTAAAGCAACACGAATTCAAATTCATTTTTTTTTTTTTTTGCCTTTTTGGTGAGTCCTCTTTGATGAATACATATGGATGTATTGTTTAAAAGATAATGGACTATACCTGCACGTCTCTCAGTTTTGATTTTTTTTTCATATTGCGTCACTTGAGAATCATGTTATAACAACCATATTTTGATCCATACCATACAATTACCAAAATAATATTTAAGTGATAGCTTGTTGAAAAATTCCAAATGAAGCTTTTATAAAGGACACACATATATATAAGAAAATAAGAATTTTTTTTAAAAAATTTGATTTATATACAAGGTTGTCCCTAAGACCCAGGGGCTGGGGAATTTCCCTGCCTATAAAGATATTATCCCCCCAGTAATTCTGGTACTCCCCCTAAACTCTCTGTTAGGGAAAGAACCCCAGAACCCCTTTTACTTTTTTAATGTCCCCTCCTATTTCAATGCCTAGGGAGAAACCTGTATATATATTTAAGTGGGAAATGGATCTGTTGAGGCAATAAAAATTGATTTTTGAACATGAATGGGTTAAGTCTCCATTCTATTGTGGGGATTGTGCTTGTCTTGTATACCTCCATTCTTTTTTAAACAAAATAGATGCTTGCATCAAAATTACAAAACAAAACCTTCTTTGTTCTTGGTATATAGGTGCAGATCATATTAAGAGTTTCTTTTGAATTTCAAGAGGGTGCAAACCTCTCAGAAATGCAAGATTGAAAAAATATGACTATTCCATTTTCAAAAATGCCTCTCAATGTAAATAGGTCTGTACTTCTAAGCTTATTCATATAATAGAATAATAAATGGTAATTTATTTTTGTTCAATTTTAAATTTTGCATAGCACTGTTAAAATAAAATGGAGTCAAGTGTAGTTTCATCTTTTAAAAAGTTCTCTTAAAGTATAATAATTGAAGCAATTGAATTGTATCACCATTAACCATATGAAATCATCTCTATAAATAATCATATTTACATTAATATTTACATTTGTAGATTATAGAGCCTAAACCTGAAGTGAAGAAGCCTGCCAATAACAAGAAAGTGCACCACTTTGTGTTTTTCTTTGGATCCGAAAACTAGTAAGTATGACCATAGTATAATATTATCAATCATTCAAGCATGAATTTCTTAAAATCTCTGGAATGCCATCTGGTGAGAGTGATGCCTTGAACAGTGTTCCATATGTGATGTTTTTCAGGTTATGTTGAAGAAGGACATATGTACTATTTTAAACTTGTATATTTACGCATGTTGTTAATTATGCAAAATAGTACCTTATTTCATATTTGGGTTATTTCCACAATACTTGAATAACATATTGATAAAAACTGAATAAAACATGTATAAAGGCTTTGGTTCACAAGGGGGATAATTATGCAAAATTTTTCAAATGATGTATTTAGTATAAATTACCCCCATACCCATAAATTTCAATGTTTACAATAAAACCAATGTCTCATACTGTAGGGGAAAACATTATGAGTGCTAAAATATACAGGAAAAATTTAGACGTAGAAAGCATATCAAATGACAATTAAATATGTAGCATAATTTGCTTTTATAAATAATATACTCTTTTGTCATTTTACAAAATAAAGGTAATTCTTAATGGCTATAACTTTATTTATAAAATTTTTGGATTTGCCAAAGTTGGGTGCTAGTCCTGATCTTTTCTCTTAAGGAGGCTGGGGGGTCAACAAATTAACCATCAAATATAACTTAATTTTTTTAGATATGATATCTTAAGCTGTCAACTATCATTTGGTAAAAAAAAAATTTCATACATTTTAGTTTTAAAATTTGATCATTTTTGTATATCGTTATATAGAGCTCTTCTTCTAAAGGAGATCAATATAGTCTGAAAATGGCCACAACCCCCCAGCCGCCTTAATTATCATGCATCTGTACCCTCCAGCCTTTGAACCTGGTTCTTCTGAAATAAAAGTTCTTGATTTTTTTGAGTGTTTTGCTAGTCCTAATATGTAATAAAATACCTGATATTTTATTCATTGTAAATGAAAAATGCAAATTGAAATTAAAATAAGAAAACATTTAGAATGAATGCTGATGACATGTATATCTAGATCTCTGGAATACTCAATATCCTGAAGATTTTTAGTAGGTGTCTTGAACTTCAGAGTTTTATCAAGTCATCTATATATATGTGCAAGCAGTGCTCCCCCCTCCCCCCCCCCCCCCCCCCCATTATTTTTTTTAAATAGATGAATAACATATTAATCACGTTTATAAAAGAATTTATCCATTAAAAATGAAGTTTAAGTATTTTCTCTGGCGCTAGTTTTATGCTTAGCTATTTTCTTTTAGTGCTTGGATTCCAGAGGAAAATGTCTACTTGTATAGTGACCACAGAGACAAGTTCAAACTTTCAAAAAGAATTCCCAAAGGATTCAAGGAAGCCTTGGAAGCAATTGAAGATGAACTAAAGGAGAAACCATTTATTGTAAGTAAATTGTATTCTGTTATTTTTTTTGTTTATCTTCGTTTCCTTTTTTCCGTGAAAAACGTTTTTGATACCAAACTTTTGTTTGTCCTCAAGTTTTGTGAGATAAATGTTTATTAGGTAAAAAAAAAGTTACAGTAAAAAATAATCAAATGCGAGAAACAGCTACTTTACCGACATATGCTTTAAAGATCACATAAGACCAAGTGTGCGCTTAACATTCTGATAGTTTGACTCTTGGTGAAAATGTCCAATTATTCTTATTATAAATTTTATTTATTACATATGTATTATTGTTATTTATGTATTTTTGGATCTTCAGAAAACATTTAAGACACAGGAATTACCATCAATTGATGAAGAATTGGCCCAGATCTTTCCAGGAAAACCATCAGCAAGTCCTCAGAAGGATTACACAAGAGAACCGTTGAAGGGGAAAAAGGTATTGCATTGTTTCAAATATTTGGATTCCATTTTTCAATGGTATATGTATATGTCTGTGTGTATACATGTATCTGTATATTTATTATTTACCTCAATGCTTGCGCATCTTCTTTTCAGTATTTTGAAATATTTTCTTTAAATCTTATGCTATATGCAACCTTTTCATTTCTGTTTTTGCAATTTTTTTTTTCTTCTGCTGAATGGTCTTTTAAGTCCTGATGTTTTCTTTTATATAATTTATTCTTATTTTAGCAAAGAAGGAAAACAGAAGAGGGAAAGGAAACCAGTAAGGTAGGCAGAACAAAGAAATCATTTACATAACATCATATACTACTGAGGGTGTGTGAAAGTTAAACGTATAATAACATTCCAAAACCATATCAAGACTACTCTTATAAACATAAAAAAAATCTGGATTGTGGGTTTTGGATCACAAATAGATAAAAATCAAGTTTATAAATGAAAAGCACATTCTATGCATGATAGGGACAATTCATTTATGCTAAGCCTCGAAGAATTGAAATACTCTCCTATTTTCAGAATTATTAAGCCCCAAACCTCATTTGCTTTGAGATTTCATTAATTTTTTTTTACTGTATATTTTGAAAATGAATAAAATAAGTAGATTGAAGTACATTGTATGTAGATTTTAAATAGTTAATTAATTTCTGCTAATGAGTTATTGGGTTGAACCATCATCAAAGAAAATACTGAGATATCCTCATGCTTCAGGAGGGATATTTCATTTAAAGACATACTTTGTTATAGTCCACAGAGACACAGACAAAGAGGAAAAGAGCTTCAGCATCAGAAGAACATCCTAAACCAAAGAAAGCAAAAGTCATTGCTAAAGTGACAGGTTCTCCCAGCAAAATCAGCCTGTCCCCTGATCACAAACTTAAACCCAAAATCAGAGCAGAACTACCATCTCCAAGGGTAGGAGTTTTAATTTGATTGTTGTTTCTATGTAGAGTTCATTTGACTGACTGGATGCATGCCAAAGGACATTAAAAGCAATTTGGCTACATAATTTTAGAACAAGGTCTATCATATGCAGCCATAATATGGTCTTATGAATTTTAGATTATAAAAAATTTTGGCAAAAATGAGATATAGTCAGGGATAGACATTACTGTAGATTTCTAAATATATGAGAGGACTTGATTATCGCATAATTTCATGAGAAACACAACTCATGAAGTAAAATTACTTGCTTTTATTTTTATGGTGCTAAAATCTATGCAAAATCCCTTGATCAACCATCCACTCGCGAATTATTGTTATTGCAAATTGACATTAAAGAGAATTTTGCGATAACAAGTACTTGTGAAAAATAAGGAATCTACAGTAACTTGCTCTTTGGGCAAGTGAACTCTGACTGTCTGAATGTAAAATTTGGTTTCACAGAGTTAGAAGGAGAAAATGACTTGGTTTATTGTCTTTACCATTTTTACATGTATTTCAATAATTTGAATGCTTGAAAGGTGATTAGCATTTGCTATCATTAAAAAAATACCATGAATATCTATCCCTGGTGGTCTGGTCAACTATCTTTGATCTTTGGGCCATAGAAGTCATTTCTAGGGATGGGTATCAGCAAAAATAGCGTGATATATCACAATTTTTTCCAAAAAATATCACAAAATCCTTAGTCATTCCTACACAAAATCTTAAGACTGAAGAGACTTCGCATACTTCGGTATTGCAGAATTAACAAGCAGTAGTTACATGTAGTTGCAGTTTTAGAATCTAGGAACACTTAAAGCCATGGAGAGTTTTTTTTTTCTTTCAAAGAATTTCACATTTGGGCCAAAAAAAAAATCAAATTTGTGTGGATTAAGTTTGAAAGGGTAGGCTAATTAACAAAATGGATGCTTATAGGGCTGTCACGAGTACCCGAAATAACCGAGAACCGCGGTCCAAGTTGTTCGGTTCGGTTCCGGTTCCATTTTTCCGGATTTCGGTTCGGGTCTGGTTTATATATTAGAGTCTGTTTAATACAAAAAATGGCGTCGAAATCAAAGGAATGATGACGATAACAGTGATAAATAAACATCACAACTGAAATCTACTTCATTCCATGACAAAACACTTGTCACGGAAGTATTAGACAATTATCAAAACGAGCAGGAATGGTCAGGTTGTGGCTAATAGTAGGCCAAGTCACCGATTTCTAGACGTTCGCATGGTTAAGACTTGTCTTCAATGTAAATTTAATGTAACAAATAAAGATTTTTCAAGTTAAATTTATGAAATTAAGGTTTAAAATAGATGTAAATACCCGACCCGAAAAACCCGAAACCGAACGGAAAATTTACAGAACCGACCCGACCCGAAAAATTTTGGAACCGTGACAGCCCTAGATGCTTAGTATGATCGGCTAATTGTATTCGGCGCGTCGGCGCGCTCGCGCAACAGATTTTGTTTATAAAATAAATTATCGCTTATACAATATTGTTAGCATCGGGCTCGATATCATAAATAATCAAAGTACTTAGAAGTACAGAGAGCGGGGCTCATTTACAGAGAAGTGAACAAGTCCGTTTTACATGAAACATACATTGTAATTACAGATGAATAACAACAAGACACTGGAAGAATATGTAACACAAAAATATATTTATGACATATAGTATAAATAAAAAATGTTTAAAAAATAAAATAAAATAAAATGCAGTTTGAATTTACATTGATGCAGCAAGGTCAAACGTTTATACACAGACGGGTCCTCAGCGGGGAGTTTTGCATAAAGGTGTGCATCGGGTCACATGCTCCCCGCATTAGTGTTAGCCTGGTAACACAAACTTATTCTATAGAATGTGAATCTGGCAGACTTGATGAAATTACCTATCGCATCTTTTAAACAAATAATTTATTGAAGAAAAGGGGAGAAAGTATATAATCAATTTTTTTTTTTTTTTTTTTTTTTTTTTTTTTTTTTTTTTTTTAGAGAATTTCTTAGTTAAATTAAATTTGTTTAATTAAGTGTTTGTATTGCTTCAAAGGTGGTTGAGCATATGTACTATATTCTTACTCATATTTAATTTGGCGGTGAGGAAGCGGTATTTCCGGTTGAACACCGTAACATAAACCGGCTATTGCTCTACGAGCAATGCGCTCGGCTAAAAAGAGAAAGTTTCATAGATAGAATTTTGTTTTTGAAGCTTCAACATCACTTGTTTGCACAGGGTCCGTTCGCCTTATTTATATTGCAGAAAGTTGAATAATTAACCAATGGATTTTTTAAATAAATTATATGTACATTGGTACATAAATTGCACACGGGAGACAACAGACGAATGCATGTGGTCACACTATACCGGTAATTTATACCTGTACTAATCAAAGACCCAGCAGACCAACAGAAATTAACATCTCAGTCCTTTAAGTGAACATAACGCAGATTGTATGATCCCCTAAATTACAGTGACATTATTAAGTATAATTAAATCAATTAAGCATGTAAAGAGCATAAATATCAAATTTGAATTACTTCATTAAGATTACGGTTAATAAAAAAAAATGCTGTAGCAACATTTGAAAAAAACACCAAGTAAAATATTTAATAAAATTAATAATAAATGTTGATATTTACTATAGTATATACTGTATATATAATAGGGCGAACGAGATATAGGGCGAACAAGAATAATGGCGAACGGACCCTGCGCGAACGGACTCATGCGAACAGGTAGATAGGGCGAACGAACCTGATACCATTATTTAACTGCCTGTTGTTTCTTTTATTCATGGCCACTAATTAATACACTAGTTTTATCAATTTTCATTGGCATCAATTTTTTTGCAATCAGCGAATGATTCAGTATTTCGTAAACACAGGTCATCATAAAACTTTTTGATATGCTTCTTACTTTAATGACCATCAAATTCTATTTTAATTTTCACTCTGCAAAACAAACAGAAAAAAAAAAAACAAAACAAAACAAAACAAAACAAAACAAAAATTAATGTTTAAGGAATGTTGATGGAACCATTGTAGATGTATTTTATATGATTGGATTTGTAATGAGATAAGTGGTTGAGAAGACTACAATATGGGGAGGCAGGACTTTATGTATCTGTAACTAAAGTTACTCCCCCTGCTCAAATAAAGAACAAGCTAATTTTTAGTAGTAGTAATATTTTAATACGTAACAAGGAATATTTGTCAAACACTGATACCAATGTTTTGCAGCTTATTGCCATGATAATCAAGTCTCTAAAAAGGGGGTTAAACTCTAGAGTCTAGGGTCATTACGTAATACCGGTAAATTTTTGTTATACATAAAGAAAATTTATAAAAACCAAAGCACTAAATATTTTTAAATGCTATACATGTATATAGTTAATGTCTAGGGTCATTACGTAATACCGGTAAATTTTTGTTATACATAAAGGAAATTTATAAAAACCAAAGCACTAAATATTTTTAAATGCTATACATGTATATAGTTAATGTTTGGAGAGAGAGAGAGAGAGAGAAATCGAAAGTATAGGCCAACTCAAAAAATTGGGGTATATTTCGGATTACTCTAGCACAAATTGTGGTAAGGCATGCATGGATCAAATGGGATCCGGATCCCTGGAAAATTCAAATTTATTTGAACTGATATAGTAAAATTACTAAAGCTTTGCCTCGGACCTCTTCCCCTTGCGATTTGAGCCAACACCTCCTAGGGAAAAATTTCTGGATCCACCCAACAAAAAAATACAATCGGGCTCGGGCTGTCAACTTGAATATAACCGATAATGCTTAAATTATAAAGAAAATCGATGTCATTTGAGTGTTTTAATGCAGGGAGAAAATACTTTTGTGATATCGGGTTGAGTTGGACGCGCTGGCGCGCCGACGCGCCGAATACAATTAGCCGTATGATCAATACTTGCTTTCGACTGCCGATATTCGAGGTAAATCAGTACATATATTTAAAAAAAATTAAAATACATTCACATTAATCGTGTTTTATTTAATTTTATCAATAAAAACTGATAATAAATGTAAATTAAAAAGGCAAATTGTGGCAAAAATGTGATGTGCATCTCTTTCCGTTTTCTAAGGTTTTGTTTAGTGCATGGTTGTAATAGAATTTAGCATTTTTGTATGTACCAGCCAAACCAGGGAGGTTGTGTATACTTGTGATAATGTATCTAGTCAGATTAATTTGTTTGAGATTCAATTTATTTGTTTTGTTGATCATTTATTAAAAGGTTAAAATATTAACATATAGTTTATAAGCTCATTGTAGATTATAACATTGAAAGGTTGGTGATTGGTTGAAAGCACATTTGTTGTAAAATGAACCCTCATTCTCATTCATCGAGGTATAAGGGCTGTGTATTGAGCAAAACAATTTGATACGAAACGATACAATATTTTATAATGCGATATCTGATATATTGGATTCTATAATAATTCTATCAAAAAAGTCTTATAAATCATTTAATGCATGAGTTTAATAAAAACTCATTGTTTTAAAACCCATTTCAATGGTCTTGTCTCAGTGTCTCTACAAATTACTTTTTAAATTCAAACTTTTAATGACTGTAAAAACAACATGTTAAAATAAAACTGTCTATGTATATTATAATATTTATCTAATATGTGCTATCTCCTTAATGATTATATTATTGTTGATCAATTTTAATTCAAAATAGTGAAAATATAACCTTTGGTGATTGAAATTCCCAACTTTTTCAAAGAATTATGAGAAAATCTGCCTGTCCGATACATTTTGGAAGGTATTTTTTCGATACGATACATTCTGAAATATCGATACATATCGATATATTGATACAGCCCTACAAGGTATAGTACCGTATTGTTAAAAATACTGTATCGTTTCAAAATTAACGGTATGGTATTGTACTGTTTCATCCTTAACAGTATGCAACCCTATATGAAATAGCCAAAACTGTTTACAGAGTCACAGAATGAACTGTTGCATGGCTGAACTGATCCATTATGACATCATGATTAATTTCCCGTACTTTACAGCTATAATATTGAATTATGTATAAATTGAAGCATTTTCATGGCAATCAATTTGAAATTATCATTTGAAGAGTAATCCTGATACCCATATAAATATATATTCAATTTAATATCATTTGAAAGAAGAGGCCAGGAACACCTTTTCTGAAGGTAATTTGGGAAAAATATAGGCCCCTTTCACTCACTATAGATCTTTGCCTTAAACGTCCAACTTAGAGTGTTATATTCAAACCTTCAAGTCATCATTATGTTGTTTACTAAACAATACATATATACATTAATTTATTAGTGCATGATAATACTAAGAAATATTATAATACCAACTTTTACCAAAGTGTCTATATCATTACTTTGAGAAATTATATAGTGGGTTAGGTAATAAAACACTTATTTCATGACAACTCGGGAAACAGCCAAACTGTTGTCCCTTGATAATGGGAAAGACCTGGGAAACTGTGCCCTTGGCCTTCTGAAAATATGATTTTATGTATGAATAGCACAGGACATTTGACACTCTCCCATCACCCTTATTGTTTCTTTACAAGTAGGTTTATTACGTCATGGCCATGAGACAGTTGAGCATGGTGAACAACTGTGCAGGACTAGTCAATTTCTGTTAAACAAGCCAAATTAGTTATTTGGAAAACAATGTACTTTGAATCCAGAATTCTAATTTTCTAAGACTTTATTTACATGTATTACTTATCCATATTCAAGTTATGTACTTTACCAAGTAGTGCAATAATTATATGATCTGTCTTTCACTCATACCTTAAGGGAGAAAAAAAATTGCATAAATTGTGCACAGTACATATACATATTAGTTAAGAAATGTTTTCTGTATCGTCTTGCTGTAGATGGTTGGATTGAACTGTAACATCTTTTTTTTTTTTACAGCCTGAGCACAATCTGCCAATGTCCCCACCCAGTAATAGCTACATCCAGGCCTCATTATCACCAGGGAATGCCACAGCCTCAACTCAGATCGAAGAAACTCTCCTCAAAGTCAAACCAGTCGCCAAACCATCAGTCATACCCACTCCTATGCGAATTGGGTTTCTGGGACTGGGAATCATGGGACAGGGCATGGTCATGAATTTGCTAAGGTCAGGTCATGAGGTCACAGTTTGGAATCGTACAGCTCTTAAGGTAAGTGTAAAATTGAGTAAGCCTTTTGTCTTTTTATGGCATCAAGGGTTAGTCAAAAGCCAATCTAGGAATGATCTCCAACCGTAATTTACAACCAAAGGTGTCAGTCGAATTAATAAATTCGAGAAATTAGTACATACTTTTAAAAAAACTATCACAATTATAAACGTGAAATTAAAATTGCGCCAAGTATATCTTCAATTATTTTTTTTAAGAAACAGATGCTGTGTTTATCATAATAAAAAAAAGTTGGGACCACAGTATACCAATAGCTGCTGCGGATTAATTTCTAAATTTACATGAATAATCAGTTTTCAAGTTAAAAGGAAATAACTTTACCAGTAAACATGGTTGGCCGGGAAATACCAGTGGTGGGAATTACCACTGGTAAATACCAGTATTTCCCGTCCCGGGAAATACTACAAATTTCTCTAAAGTGGGAAATACTGGGAAATACAAATCTAAAGTTTTTTATTTCATTAGTTCATTCAATCTTATGCAAAATTCAAAAATAAAATAAACATAAAAACAAAAGATGAATAATATGGAATATATCTCAAATTGCAATTGAACATATTTAGAATGTATCACTACTCCAGGTCCCATAGTACCCATATAAGCATTCTGAAACATTTCCCTGGCTGTATAAAACTGAAGTTTTCCAATTTAAGTTTCTTTTCAGTTTTGTAAAATTATTAAATTTATTAATTATAAATCCATGAAAAAAAACCAACTTGTTTTAAACCTTCTATAAACACTGTAGTTATTACAAACAATCATGTTGTTTTAACAAATTGCTCTGGACAGTTTTGTGCTCATGTTTTAAGAGATAATTACCTTGAGTAGAACTGAAAGGCTTCTTTCTTACATGTCTTAGGATTGATATTTATACCATACTCTACATTTAAGAATTTTCTTAGATAAAAAAAACCCAATTGGGATCTTTGAGTTAATTTCATGGACCTTTACTGACTACATCTGACTCAAGCATGAAACAAATGACACTCATGACTGGTAAATAAGTATACTGTGTTATGATTTTATAAAATGAATTACTTGGAAACCAAAATTTTTTAAATCATGGAAAGTGATACCAGGAGATATCTTAGCCAATAAGGTGTACTAAATGTCAATATTAATGAAATATGTAGCTATTTCTTATTTCCCGGTAAATACCAGTAATTCCCGGTAAATACCAGTATTTCCCACCGTCCTGGGAAATACGAGTATTTCCCAGTTTTTTGCCAACCCTGCCAGTAAAGGGTAAAAATCATCAAACTAATTTACTGGGCATACAAGAAGGTTACAAACATTAAATTTTAAAGTTAAATTTTTACCCTTCCAGAATTTACAAGCAATTTTGTCATAAAAATCAATGAATTAACCTCGTTATGCAGTTTCATAATATACTGCTTTCTCCTGATCGCGGCTCATACTTGTAGCATGGCTATTATGCAGTCACTGAAAATGTGTTTAATCTGAAGATACCAAAAAAAAACATGCATAGACATTGTTAAAGTATGATTAAAATAAATCATTCCTAGTTCTTTAACTGGTTGCACAGATACAAGTTCAGTTCAACAATATGCAGGCGTCCATTTTTGTTTATGGTACTTTCGATGGTGTCAGGTCAGTTTGGACCCAGGCCCCTGCCTAATTCAAAAGAACTGTTGAAATTGTTTTCATATTCAGTGCGGTAGAAGCTTTTCAGGCTTTTCATTTTCTTTATTGGTTTCCATTTACTGCAATTGCAACTTCTGTTGGATATGTAAAAATTGCATTTTTGTTTTAAACAGTGATAATAAAGATTTATGTATGATTTTTTCCCTTTTTACACAAGAATCAGCTAATAGACATTCTGTAGGAGGGAGTTCAGTCATTGATACAAGATATACAACCCTTGTCAGGTTTATTATTTATTTTAATTTTATATCAAACTTCATAAGGATGTAACTCTATAAATCATATTTGGTGTAGAAATAATGTAATGGGGGGGGGGGGGGGGGGGGGGGAGAGAACAAGCAACTATTCTGTGTTCATAATTTTAAGTAAGCAAGGAACCTTTCCTATGTAAATAAATGCTAAAATTTTAATATTATATGCTGATATTTACATTTGCAAATGTTTTCTTTTATATAACACTATTAAAAGCAACGTGTATCTTTTATCTGTATAAACATGGGTTCCTCGCGTCATAAACGTTCAACGTAATTTCTCAGTGACGTCATAAAGGATCGACGCGCAATCAATGGATCAAATACGTGCTGTTTAGTTTGAAAAAACAACATTTCACGTGTTAAAGATTATAATCAGGAAAATATAAAATACGAATAAGTAATAAATATAAGTAATAATGGATCGTTTTTAAACATCTATCGGGATATAAATACGGGTTGGTATGAGATCAAATTTACCATAAAGCCCTTCTGGCTTTATGGAATTTGATCTCGTGACCAACCCGTATTTATATCCGATAGATGTTTAAAAATGATACATTATTTCTTAATTAAATCATGATACCTTGGGCTGAAAGTCATTTACCAGTGCAGCAATCCAGTAAATTGGTTTATTTTTATGTTTTTTTTTCCACATCATTTATATAAATAAAAAATTTTGTATAATTGATTTTAGAATCCTAATGTAGTTCAGGCTGTATTTATAGACTGAAGAGAACCTGGTATGTTTATTCCAAACTATAGTACAAGTATTAACTTTCTTAAAAAAGCTTGTCTGACTTGAGCAAATCAATTATTAAAAAGTCAGATCCTGTGTAATCAACATAAATCTGCATCCAGAAATAAATTCCTTTGTTAAGAATCAAAGAAAGTTAAATCCAGTGTCATCAACTACATGTAAAAAAAGGAGACTTGGACTTGAATGTATTCAATAAATAAAGCTGGTATTACAATATCACCACAACAGGCTAAAGGTGTGCCTCAGTGCCATGATGGTTGGGCACCTTGTGTACTTGGTATATTTATAGTAATATTCTGTTTTCATTCATAACTTAGAGAAATTGGCCATAACCTTTTTAAGAAATAATTTGGCTAAAATGTGTAAGCATTGTCTCCCTTTACAATATTAGAAGGATTATGAGTATCCTATAAAACTTATCACAAAGAATCATGATGCCAAGTACCAAATTGTAATTCAAAGCATGGTTAAAAATAAAAAAGAAAACTCACATAGCTACCAAAAATTTCACTGGGAACAAGTCAGAAAATATTGAGCAAATATTTGGCTGCTCATATAAAATCTTGCTTAAAGGCGTATGATTTTCCAAAAGAAATATATGTATTAAGTATGGTCAAAATTTGTCAAAAAAGACATTTTAACAAATTTATAAAGGAATAATAGGCATTTATCACATTAAGAGTTATTTCTCTTATCAGAGTATCAATGAACCTTAAGGTCAAAGATCTAGTAAATGATTTTTAGCTCTACTGGTCAGAGACCAGAAGAGCTTATGCGATAGTAAGGTGTCCGTCGTCCGTCCGTCTGTCTGTCTGTCTGTCTGTCTGTCTGTCTGTCTGTCCGTCTGTCTGTAAACAATTTTTCAAAACGCTACTCCTCCTACAGTTTTGGTCCGATTTCAATATAACTTGGCACACAAGTAGACTACACTAAGATACATAATTTAGTGCATCGGTTTTTGATTTTGATGGACGGTGTTGCCATGGTTACTAAAAATAGAAATTTCTGTGAAATTCCTTTAAAACGCTACTCCTCCTACAGTTTTGGTCCAATTTCAATATAACTTGGCACACAAGTAGACTACACTAAGATACATAATTTAGTGCATCGGTTTTTGATTTTGATGGACGGTGTTGCCATGGTTTCTAAAAATAGAAATTTCTGTGAAATTCCTTTAAAACGCTACTCCTCCTACAGTTTTGGTCCAATTTCAATATAACTTGGCACACAAGTAGACTACACTAAGATACATAATTTAGTGCATCGGTTTTTGATTTTGATGGACGGTGTTGCCATGGTTACTAAAAATAGAAATTTCTGTGAAATTCCTTTAAAACGCTACTCCTCTTACAGTTTTGGTTTGATTTCAATATAACTTGGCACACAAGTAGACTACACTAAGATACATAATTTATTGCATCAATTTTTGATTTCGATGGACGGTGTTGCCATGGTTACTAAAAATAGTAATTTCTGTGAAATTCCTTTAAAACGCTACTTCTCCTACAGTTTTGGTCCGATTTCAATATAACTTGGCTTACAAGTAGACAACACTAAGATACATAATTTAGTGCATTGGTTTTTGATTTTGATGGACGGTGTTGCCATGGTTACTAAAAATAGAAATTTCTGTGAAATTCCTTTATAACGCTACTTCTCCTACAGTTTTGGTCCGATTTCAATATAACTTGGCACACAAGTAGACTACACTAAGATACATAATTTATTGCATCAGTTTTTGAATTCAATGGACGGTGTTGCCATGGTTACTAAAAATAGAAATTTCTGTGAAATTCCTTTAAAACACTACTCCTGCTACAGTTTTAGTCTGCTTCTAATATAATTAGGCATACAAGAAGACTATACTAAGATACATAATTTATTGCATTGGTTTTTGAATTCGATGAACAGTGTTGCCATGGTTACTTAAAATAGAAATTTTTGTGAAATTCCCATTAAACGTTACTCCTCCTACAATTTTGGTCTGATTTCAATCTAATTTGGCACGCAGTTAGAATACACTACGATACATAATATGTACTTCTGTTTTTTTTATTTGGGTGAATGGTGTTGTCATGGTTACTAAAAATAGAAATTTCTGTGAAATACTATCAAAACGCTACACCTCCTACAGTTTACATAATTCTATTCATTGTTGCATGTTGCAATGTTTCAAATCCAAGTGCTACTTTTCTTTTGTTATACAAACAGACCAGTAGAGCTACAGTCTCATCAGAGACTTCTGGTTCAAATTTGAGTAATTAATGATGCTTACTATTGCTTGGTAGAGTAAGGTATTACTGGGCACAATTTTTAGGTAAACATAATGAAAAAACCATATTTTAAACTGTCCAATTCAATGAAAAATGAAGGAAAAAAAGAGGGGTTTTTTTCCATATTAGACAAAAGAAATTTATCCAGATTGTCTACAGTCTCTCAGAAGATGGTAATTAATGTAAACTTGACCTTTAAAATAATATTATCATGATTAAATTGAAAATACTGTGAAATCACTCATTTTTCGCAGGGGTTTAATTTTTGAGACCCATCAATTCATGTCCTCCACAAAAAGTAAAATTCCAAATACACAGCACAATGTTGCAATTCTTCAACCATGAAATCAAATCCCCTAAAAGCAGTATTTTTTCCTGTGGCCACAAAAATTTGACCCCATGAAAATATGTGATTTTACAGTAGGTATATTCAGATTAATTTTGACATAATTTCAAATTGAAATCATGAAAATATTTCATTTTCTACATCATTCAATTATAGCCCTAAAGTATTGGAAAATGTGTACGTTAAAATTAAAGATGAATTCATATTGGATCTAGGATCAAAAAGACAGTCTAAACTCATTTAAGGTCTTGACCTTAATCATTTTAATGGACAAGGTCAAATCTATTAATCTTTCTGAGAAAAGTCAAATCTTACTGAAAAATAACAATAATGAGAATCTTATGGATAAAAGCCAAATTTTACTGACAAGTGCCATTTGAAATACTAAGAAACAACAAAAGGGGTAAATTATAGGAAAATAGGTCTGGATAATACATCCAATTAAAGACAATCAAAAATGTAAATAATCTTGAGTATTTATTGACAAATACTTAATTTTTTTTTATACATATATTTTATTTCTCTGACTACAACAAAAATAGGGTGATTTATGATCCACAAACACTCCAGATCCGACTAGAAGAATTCTTAGTATTTGATTTCATGTGTGAACAGGTGTAATAAAAACAATGGGTTATAATGAATACATATATTTACTCAAATAAGATCTCAGAAATTCAGCTCCAAGTTCAATAGTCAAAAGTTCTGATATATTTTATTTATAGTATATTTTTCTGATAATCAGGAAGATTTTCACATGTGGGCTAATGAGGTGAATGGCAAATAAAATTACGATGATTTTAAAGAAAAAACATATTTTGATACTTTGTAGAGAAAAACACACACATCAGTCATTGACTTTACACTGAACTTTGAGCTAAATCTTGACTTTCTTCATCAATATCAATATCAGCACCAAGTTGAATTGTAACTTGACTGTGATGAAAAGTCTGGCCTGAATCAACTGTGGGCATTATTAATGAGAGTCCTTCACTTGAATTAGTGAGCGACATTGTTATTGAGACACTCTCTCGAGACTCCTCTTCAGCTACAGGCATTGTTATTGAGAGCCCATCTTGAGTATCACTGGCAATGGCATCATGGACAACAAAGCCCCTGTTTTCTGTGTTCATATGCTCATCACTGGGATCAGAACCATGTAAGGTTTCTTGACTAGCATGAGTGGATGTATTGTTTGAACTAGCAGTGACATACTCGCCGGAACTTATTGACCTGGACTCGGGAGTGCAGAGAATATCTTCAGGCTCGAACAACATAGACTCAGTCCTTACACATTCACTGTCAATGATTGTTCGACAATTATCAATGTTCAATGTGTCCAACAGGTTGATCATGTGTTTTTGTTTAAGTTTGTACTTCTTATGCAGTTTACTCAATCGGAGAGACCCATATTCTCGCACCTTTAGTAACTGAGTGTTGTAGGTATCACGTAATTGGTGCAGTTGTTGAGAGCTGTATTCACGGAGTTTACGTTGCTTGATCTGATATTTGTCTCGTATAATGTCCACTCGATGTGTTGTTCCCTCTCTGATGTGAGATGCTCCTTCACGAAATCTGGTCATTTGAGTATTGTAATTTTCGCGAAGTTTAGTCATGCGATTATGATATGTTTCTCGTATCCTTGCAACTTGACCATAGTAGTTGTCACGTAGAGATGAAAGTTTGTTTGTCTTGTATTGGTCGAAATTCTCAAGAAACTGCATTATGGCCTCCCTTCTGCGTTGACTGATGCATTTTCTTGCTGCAGCGGCTATAAACACATAAATTAAGTTGAGCATGAAGAATGAGGCAGAACAACCTAGTCCAACAAATAAACTAAAAACTTTAACTTCCATGAGCACTTGATAATCTAGCCTAAGTAGAATTTGTGATGTGCTTTTGTTCTGGGGTGACTCTACAATGCACTTATAAGGACCTGAATCAATGCGCAAGACATAGTCAATGTATAGGGAGCCATCCTCAAGGACAACAACTCTGTCAGGGTGATCTTCAAGTTCCGAAAAATATTCATTTGTGTAGTGCCAGTAGTGGTTTTCATGAAATGATCCGTTCTGTTGTACATCAGTTATAGATGGATAATTCCACTTGGCCAGTGTATGGGTGTTGTAGAATAAGAGCTGAACATTTCTTGGGGTGATCCAGGTTATTTTAGGTGGAGGATCTCCTTGATAAGGGCAAACTAACCTTGCTGAAGATCCAATGGGAAAATCCACTCTCGAGTGAACATGTTGTAGACTTGTTTCTGGACAATAGAGGCTATCCTGTAGTATTAAAGGGTGGGAGACACTTGATCCATTTAGAGTACATGACAAGTCATTTGAATTAGAAAAAGTGATAGAAGAGTCATTGGCCTTTAGTATTTTACTTATCCATTCGATGTGGCAATCGCAGACCAGTGAGTTGCCAGAGATATCTACAGTAAGGGTGTTTGGCATTGGTGGGAATGCAGGTTCGGCAAGGGTTGATATGTTGTTCTGACTCAGGTTAAGACTCACCAAGCTTTTCATGCCACTGAAAAGTTCCTCAGAGATGTATGATAGGTGTGGGTTATTCTTCAACTCTAAATTCTGTAGATCCTGGAGTCCACTGAAGGCCCTCTTACTCAGATAGTACAAGTGGGGCATATTGCTTAAAGATAATGTATGTAAATGAGGCAAGGAGTGAAAGACAGGGTCTTGAATTGTTGCTATATTGTTTTTATTTAGTGAAAGCACATGTAACCTTGGCAATGATTGTAAACTTTTCTCAGATAGATCACTAATGTTATTTCCATCCAAGTAAAGCTCTTTCAAATTTGGCAATTTGCGGAATGTACAGTTTTCCAGAGAGGCAATATTATTTTCACTGAGATCTATTATTTCTAGCTGACTAGAATTAATCGACATTTTAATATCGAAACACCTTTTAAATGAGTTTCTTTCAAGGTAGACTTTCTTTAGCTTTGAGAGACTTTCCAGTGAGAGTTGGCTGTTCCAAGGTGCTGAAGTGTTACTCAAATCAAGTATCTGTAAGTCTGTTAAATATTCAAAAACTTGGTTGGAAACATTTTGCAAAGGATTGTTGCTTACATTCAAGTAAGTTAAGTTGGATAAATGAAAGAGACTGGCATCGAGACCCTGTATGCTATTTCCTGAGATATCTAGCCAAGTTAATACAGAATTGTGAAAGTCTGGACAATCTGTTAATTTGTTGCCATGTAAGTTTAGCTCTAGCAGATTTGGCAGGGAAGTGAAGCCACTGATCGTGTCCATGATGTCATTGTCACTAACATCCAGCACTTGTAGACTTGGTAGAAGGGGTAGCCTTCCAAGGTCAGTGAGGCTGTTTCCTTTGAGAAGTAGAACCGAGACATTTTGTGGTAGATATGGTGGTACTGTTAATAATCCCCTGTTAGAACAGTTCACTGTTACATGATATTTATAATCACAGTCACATCTGGTCGGACAGATCTGTTGGCTGCTACTTTGGAAAATGGCAATAGTGAGCAAAATAAGGAGTTTACCTGTTACCATCCTTGGTAGACACCTTAGAGAAGGTGGTGGGTTAAATTTTCATACTCGGGAGAGCAGAAAATTAATTTTCTACGATCCCTTTGGAGTGATCAATCTCATGATTCAAATCTGAAAAATACAAAAAAATGTTATCAATTACAAAGTGCAGATAAAAGTAATACAAAAACATCTGTTTTCATGAATCTGTTTTTAAAGAAAATTTGTCTGACTAGAACAAAAGAGTGATGTTTCTGGCTCTGATAGGCTATAAATGCTTGCTAACCACAGGAAATGGACAGTGTAAAATCCTTATTGTCTGCTTGCTTATTTGTTGGAAAACTGTGTTTTTGTGTACCATCTTGTATAGTATAGCACTCCCAGTGTACATTGATCAGCCAATTATCAGTACAATATTGACTGACAACTAAATAAATAGTAAGTTATACACAAGTTCACAGTTGGACATTCTGATAAGTGTCTGTCAACAACAAAATATCAAAAGAAAAACATATTTTGTGTTAATGAGATAATATTGTGTTAGAAAGGCTAAATACCATGGAGACAAAACTAACTTAGCAATACAGTAATTTTGAAACACAAGAAAATCCCTTTGTGTAAGTGGGAATTATCGGATGAACTGGGGGCACCTTCCGAGGTTGCTTTGTTGGATAGAAGCAAACAAAGGGAGGAAGTTCATCACAAAGTGAAATTTAACCTTGGATAAACATTGTGTTCATCTCTGACTGTCACTTACTGATAGAGACACACTTATCAGAGGCTCATGTTAATGACCTGTTTATAGAACTATAAACTGATATACATCGCAGTAAGCACACTGGTCTTATACTTGAAATATTTACAACAATGGTCTTCATCCTACAGATGCAAGTTCTCATAAAAGTTTTAATCTTTGCGAGAACTGTCCATAAAATTTTGATGTGGTTTGAGAGCAACTGTTGACCTTTTGCCACTCATAACCATCAAGAGGATTTGGTTGACATTCACCATGGCTAATGATGTTATCTGCCTGGTCAGTGATGTCAGCCATACACTAGTTTCTCTATGATGAATTTTTAAGTAGACAGACAGCCACCATTGTTTATTATATAAGCTCATCATGATTAGGGCTGGGACGATATATCGAGATATCGATAATATCGATTCAATGTGAGGATGATACGCATATCGATACGTATGAAGAAATATCGACATATCGCCCAAAAAATTCTGACTTATGTTTTTCTTTGTTTACTTAACATTTTGGGTTTAATATATAAAATAAATATGCTTAATATAAATATAAATATGAAATACATAATAATTAAGACCACTTGTGCAAAATAATTAAGTTTTACAACAGATATGCAACTTCTTTGAATAAATTATTCTTATTTGTGAAGAAATGTTTTGTTCATTTCAATATAAAAAAAGAATTTATAACCAATTAAACATATCGTGATACATATCGTATCGTGGCTCAAATATCGGGATACGTATCGATATAGAAAAAGTTGTATCGTCCCAGCCCTAATCATGATCTGGGAATTTTTTCCATTTTGCCTGCTTCAATTATATATGAGGATGCTTTGCTCATAAACTAATACTATTGACAGAAAATCAATACTCTTGTTTGGATAAGTTGAAGCTTCAGAAACAATTCTCCTTGCAATATCAAGATCTTCACTTAGCAGTGATTTACAAGGTTTTGTGTAAAATAAGCATTCTAAAGAGTTGTGGTAATTAAGTTTTTTTCCTTTGTACCTATAATGGTCTTTGAGCTCTCTCCATAGTCAATTGTTTGAACATATGGTTTCCATGAAGAGCTGCAAGGTTGTACAGGGCTTGCTCATTAACAACTTGCCTTGAGGAAAACAGTGAGAAATACCTATACTTACTGTTTTTTACGAGGTCCTTGTAGATTTTAATCCTGGCCATAAATACCATAGGCGATTCAGACAGTGCATTGTTTATAGAGTAGATAAAATGAATATACATCACCTCTCCAAGTTCACATGACCTTAGAACATCATTGAAATGATATGAAATCAGGCTAGCTTGTCAAGTCAGACAGGCTGTTGAATATTCATTTATTTCTCCTGAACAATGCTTTAATGATTTCCTTACCTTTTGTATAGAGTAATTTTGTCCATACAGTAAGAATCCAGTGTGTGTGATATACTCTCACATTTCATTTCCTGGTGAACCAGAGTAAACATATGTCTAACTTGCATTACCAATAGTAAAATTGTTACTGACTATTAATGACTGTTGACTTAATGCTGTAGGGAAGCAAACAGTACCTATACTTACAAATGAACTTAATGAAGGACTCCTAGTTTACTCCTTATTGATTTATAGCAGCCATCTCTCCATAGAACATCGACCTTGCACTTGCATGATGTCAGCTGCTGATGGGAAGTGGATGAGTCCACTTAGCTCTGAGGGGAGGTACAGGATTGTGTTCAGTGACCTGTGTTTTGTACCTTCTAATGACAGATTATAGCCCCGGGAGGACATTCTTTTTTTAGCTGACAAAATCACACTTCTTAGATATATGTACATAATAAGTGTCTAATAGTGTAATTAAGAAACAAGACATTTTTTTTTCATTGCACAAAGTGACTTTTAATGCACTTTTAATGCAATTAGGAAATTACTTAATATATTCTGAATACCTAATGTTAAAATTGAACAATATATTATACTTGAGGTATATAAACCCAATCTTTAAATATGGAGAGAGAGTGTATGATTTTTAAAAAAAAATATTTTCCATATCCATGTATTTATAATATTCTTCATGGAAGAAAGGAAGGAAACAAAAGAAAAACAACTGCAGGGTCCTTTGCTCTGTGGGAAACTGCACTTCAAATCTAAAAATATGTGTGGATAGATTAAAAAAAAAGATGTTTTCTTTTAGTGCAGAGATTTTGTGAAGTCTGGGGCATTCAAGGGGAATAATCCTGCAGAGGTAGTCCAGTCATGTGACATCACCTTCTCCTGTGTTGCAGACTCCACAGCAGTTAAAGATGTAAGAAAGTTTTATCAGAAGTTTCATTTTAACTTCAGCATCTTCAAAATATCAGCTGAGTACCCCCCCCCCCCCCCCCACACACACACACACACATACACAAATAAAATGAAAGAAGAATTTTCTTCAGATAGGAATAATACAGCAGTCATGAATGAATGGATGGAATCTTTTTATGTCACCTCTAAAATTACTGAGCAGATTTCACTTTGATATATGTATAATTATAGGGAAGGGGGGGGAGAGAAGGGGGGAGGAGGGCAACATCTGGTGCTGAGAAAAAAAATGAATTCTTTATGAATTATAAGAACCAATTGTAGGGTGCCCAGGACAAAGCACCTGTCATATGAACTGTGCTTTATAAGGATTAACAAGGAAATTGAAACCAGGAAAACAAACAATAGCTTAATTTACCCCAAAAAAAAGTAACTTTTAATGTAACTTGTAGTTTTTAATGTTATTTGAAATTTCTTTGGGGAAGAAGAGGAGTTAATATAAGGGCATGTGTTTCAAGGAAAAATACCATGGCTGTCTGAGAAAAACCTGAACTTTGTACATACTCCATATAGTTTTTGTTCAATAGATATCAAATACTTGCCAGATTATTGGGAGTAGCTACAGATAATGCCTTCAATATATTTTGCATTTTTTACAGTTATTAATGAAAAAAAAAATTGATAGTGTGAGATTTAGCTAATGTGTGTATTAGAAATTTAGACTATTTCTCCATTGTCTTTAGTTTATCAGTGTTACTAATAGTAATAAACATAGTTGTATATTTTTATATTAACATGAAGAAAATGTTTATCATTGCTATATTTTATTTTAATTATAATTAATTGTATATTTTAATTTTATAAAGTGTACAGCAATTAACATACCATGTAATATGTTTTGTGTTTTAGTTGGTATTTGGTAATTATGGGGTGCTGCAGGGAATTTCCAAAGGAAAGTGTTATGTGGAGATGTCTACTATAGATGAGGAGACTATGCAGGATGTGGCGGAGGTAAATTATACCAAGGTTTACAGACGTCAAACTCATAATCTCAAATTTCCTCAATCATACCTCGGACAAAAAGTGTTTATTTAGGGAATCGATGCCATTTTTTTTGCTTTTATGAGATAAAGTACCTGCATGGTAAACTTTGATAATTTTTATGAGCAGCAAAGATACTTCTGGTAGACTTATCATGTGATTTGGTTGGTTATTGTCCACATACACACCAAAATAAGGATGTATTCCTTAAAGGTCAAACCTTTTTATCTCAAATTCAATATGAGAAAATACTTCCAAGATATCTGAGGATTCAAGATATTAAGGTTAAAATACATAAGGAAAAAGTGGTTGGGACTTTAAACCCACTTCCGTACATCCATGGTATTCTAGTATTCCAGATGTTGATGTTGGAGATTAGAAGTTTACTGTATTTACATTTTAAACTTTCCTCATTATCCCTATCCCATTTTGCTGGCATCCATTTTCCATCTTAAGGTATCAAATTTAAATACTTTATGTCAACTTAACTTTACATGCAACAAGCTGTCAGGAGTTTCACTTAAGGTCAGATGACATGTTCCTCAAATATATATAATTTTTTTTTGAAGAATTTGTCATTGAAGTATTGCTACTTTAATAAGTTCCCTCACAAAAAATTGAGGTACCTTACCAGGCATTTGTTCAAGATACCAGAGGATGCTATTTACTACATAATCCTATTGGAAATCACTAGCATTGCCAGTATCACAATTTCTTGATGTTTTTATTTACTTAGAAATTTACAAACAGTTTAAAAAATCACAAGATAACGGTAATTATGATTTATTTGTGATATATTATGAAGAGATAGAAAACAGATATATGAGCAACTTGTCGTCAGACCTTAATTAGAAACTGTCAACTTTTCCACTGTTAGTTTGTGTAACTATTATTTCTTACCATGGAAACAAAGCGTAACTGCTACAGTGAAATCAATTTTTTGATAATCACATCGTTTAAATGTAAAAATGAAACTTATACTGAAGATCACTATATTCTCCTGACACCTTGATTTCATGAGATAGCTATTTAGTAATTATAATGGAGAATTTTCACAAATTATTACTGTTGTATATAATCCTAAACAATACAAATATATGCGAGAATGAAATTTTTGCGAGCAGTCAGGTCTCATGTAATTAACCAAAAATAAAATTTCTTGCAAATAAAAAGTGATTTACAGTAATACTGACATTGCTTTCCCAATTCTGAATATTTTTAGCAGGATATTAGAATATTCCAGTTTTCTAGAAATGCTTATTTTATCAGGCTGAGCAATAGTTGTCATGGTCGTACACCTGTAGAGAACAAACTACTGTGGTTAAACTGGTCATGAACTTTATGGAATAATTAGACAATTGAATAGAGATGGGGGTATTTTTATGGCAATTACATAAACATATGACACCTCATTGATGAATGGTGAATGTGATAGAGAAAATAGGGGATTAGATAACGTAGATTCCTTGATTCTGTTATCAATGATGTAACTATTTTTATAATATTTTACATGTTATGGATTAAGAAAGCATTGTAAATTACACATATGGCAGTACAGTGCTAGTATTGACTTGGTATAGGGGAATTAGAATTACACAATATGGCAGTACTGTACTTGTATTCACTTGGTGTAGGGCTGTGTTCTTAGGTAAGTAATCCATAACAATTCTCCCCTTGCAGGTCTCTAAGGGAAGTTGACTTACAGTATAAGACATGCTTACTAAGTAAATCTCAGTTATAAGCCTGGATGTTAATGGCATGGTTAATAGTGTCAAAACATTGTGAAATGTAAATATTATGGTGTATTTTAGGCAATAACAGCACGAGGTGGAGTGTTTTTGGAATCTCCTGTAGTTGGAAGTCGAGTTCCTGCTCTGGAGGGACAGCTAATCATCTTAGCAGCGGGTGAAAGAAAGCTGTACGATGAATGCTACTCTTGTTTTGAGGCCATTGGAAAGAAATCTCTGTATTTAGGTCTGTAAAAAAAAAAAATGGAATGCATCTGATGAAAATGATAAATGTGAATAAAGTAAGAGTTATCTTTCTTTCCACTCATTCACTGTATGAATATCTTCTATCACCAAAAAAAGAGTTCTCTTTCTTTCTGTATTATCCCTTTGTGTTTTGAATTTGAGAATGTTTATGAACAGGGGCAGACATTGGAGCTGCCACTAGAATGAAGCTGATTGTGAACATGGTGATGGGGACCGTGGTAGCAGGATTGGCAGAGGCCATGGCAATGGCAGAGAAAGTGGGTCTGGACCAGGAGGATGTGGCAGAGGTTCTGTCAGTGGGGGCATTGTCTTGTCCCACCGTCATCCACAAAAGTCAAGGTCAGCTATACCCAAGCCATTAATATTCTTGATCAGATAAAGCAAAAATAATAATAATAGGAAACCGGGATGATTCTTTAAAAATATACAAAATGTTTATTCTGATAAAATAATTGCCAGTTTATACATACTGTGAAATTGGAAATTTTCATGGGGATTTAATTTATGTTGTTTTTTGGTATGAAGAGACAATCAAATCCCCCATGAAATGGGAAAATTTCATACTGCTATATAATGCTTCTCCTTCAACCATGAAATATTATCCCCTCGAACCAATGATTTTTTTCTCCAAACCATGAAAATTTGACCCTATGAAAATAACTGATTTTTGCAGTATATTATGCAGGGCTAATGTTGGACTTGTTGAGTGCATCTGAAAGTTCAAGGGATTGATTTCCACACAGATCTTCTGTTGCATGACTTTTCTTGAACAGTGCACTTCTTTTTCCATTGGCAAGAACAATCTATACTTATAAATTAATAAATTTTGCAAATAAACTCCGAAACGGGTGCGCCAGAGTTCTTACTTACTCCTCTAAGAATAAACACGATACAAGATGATGTCCGTAAACTATATTTAGATTTCACTTGCATTGTAAGTATCGTACATTAAATTAAAAGTCTACTTTTATTTTCTATAAACAGCCATGAAATAGCAAAAACGTGAGTACGGTGGCGTTTCCGGTTGGCGGATCAAAGTTACTGTCAATTTTTAATGAAACTGACAACAAGCAATCGTTTATTTATTTCCTTGAACGTCATTACTGAATTATTCAATCAAAACTTGATTTAAATTATATAAAAGAAATAAGTTGTGATAACCGATTAAAAAGGGAAAAGTGCAAGTTATTTTCGTCATTCACCGATCGTAATATTGACGGAAGCTTCTAGAACATCATATAGCATCAAGCCCGATGTTTAAAAGAAAAAAAATAGCTTTTGTGTGAATGGTCATTGAAATAATGGTAAATCATTGATATATTTTTATATCGAAAGACTATTACATATATGTAGTAGGTTTTCCTAATAAATTTATCGGTAAAATTTGTATATATTCCTCACTGAAAGCATCGGGCAACGAACCCGAAGTACAATTTGTAATTCGTAATAAACTTGCTTACATGAAAAGAGAATATCAATGAATAAGGCATTATTCAAGTACAATTATGTTGTATAATTTTGTGCTTTAATTTATACATTTCAGTTTTTTTCTGAATACAGTCTTTTGTATCAAATACTCGGCCTATTCCAGTGGCGGATCCAGGAATCTTGAAAAGGGGGGGGGGGGCAACCAGTTTGGGGTTGGGGTAGGGGCCCACGGACACACCAAAAAAAATAATTTATTAAATTTTATGTATATTTTGGACACAAAACGGGAGGGGGGTTGGGCCTCCCTCTAAATCCGCCAGTGTATTCATATGGCATTAAATAAAAGCTAATTTTTACACAGGTACTTTTAGGTCTTGGATTATAAATATGTATACATGTACCTTATTGATATGTAAAAAAAAAGAGGTAAGATACAGTTTTTACATATCAATAAGGTACATACATATTTATAAACCAAGACCCAAGTACCTGTGAATTTTTACCAAAAAAAAATCTATTTCTCAGTAAAATGTGCATATTCACTGCTTTTATTCGTGACTGAAATGAAATAAGAGCATTTGAAGTACAATATCCATAACATAGTACATTGTATATAACAGGTTTCACAATAAATGTCAATTAATGATTTTGTTATTTAAGTTTTACGGGGGGGGGGGGGGGGGGGGGGGTTGGAGACGTACTTCTACTTCATGCGGGATATTGAAAAAAGTATTTCTTCCTGCTATAAGCCTGTAGGCTGTCAGTAGAAATTACAATATATATATTATTAGATTTTTTTCTGTTGGTAGTGGTATAAATTCAATTCCCCGCGCTTGTGCGGGATTTCATCTAGTGTCCTAAAAAGAGTGGAAAACATCCTGATGTGTGTTCCATGTAGATTTACTAAAATCAAAAAAAAAAAAATTTAAAAACTTGTGATAGCAGTCTCCTTTATCCAGCAGTGATCTGTCTTATGTGCTTATTTTCCCAATGAAATATCATGAATATCCTGTATAAAGTTACTCTATTAAGAAGTCACCTGTGTAACACAAAGCAAAATCACCATTTTTTTTCTCTACTGGTGCCATTTTTTCCAATTACATGACCACATTTTAAGTCTGGTGATTCCCAATTTGTTTTCTATTGTAAAATATCAATCCCATGGTAAAAAAAATATCCTAATTAAAACTATTTAAATGATTGGACAAGCATATAAATTATAGAACAAATGTACTTAATTAAAACTCAAACAAGGGTGTTCATGACAGAGAAAGTAAGCTGGAAAACGAACATTATGAGTCTGTTGAACTAAGAAACTGGAATCTAGTTTTAAACATTCCTCATGATATGACACAATATTAAAAACAACTTTACTTGTCTTTTAATGGATATGATAAATATTTCCTGATTAGTTTCTGATTATTAGTTCACATTTTGGCATGCCCAACTCTGATAGCTGTAGAACTGTGTAAACACATGACATGCAGCCTAGTAAACCTGTATTCTATATAGAAACCCAAAGTACTGCTTGTAACAATGAGCATAGTTTTACTCATTTCCATTACTGTTCATCCTTGATTTGATTTGATTTCTAATCATAATATAAGAAGTAAGAAGGGTTTTTAAACTAAATATGATATACAATTTTTGTATGTATATATATATATATATATATATATATATATATATATATATATATATATATATATATATATATATATATATATATATATAATTTCAACACGTTACCACATACAAGTTACCGGTACTTAAAATATGCAAGCATTTGCTTTAAAAAGTGTTGACTTCATTTCCAGTATGGTTTAGTTTGATTGAATTCTCTTGGGATTTGTTTGACAGTAGAATTCAGCAATATGGATAAAAGTTCTTACACTTGTAGTTAAAATTTTGTACTTCATAGATTAATTAGATCATTAATTTTGAGGTTACAAGGTCAAGGGTCAAACTGGACATAGGAAGATATCGACCTCTTATATATTTCGTAAGAATCATTTGTTTGATAGACATCAAACGTGGTACACTTGTTCCTCCTTAGTACATGCAGTAGATGACACCTAGTCATTTTGAGGTTACAGAGAGTGTACTGTCTGCTCAATATCTTGAGAACCATTGCTTGACAGACATCAAATTTGGTACCCTGATAGAAGTAAATTACTCCTTGATATTGAGACCTGATGGATATCAAACTTGGTATTATATTTGCCCCCTAACTAGTAAAACTATATTACAGACATTCTAAAGTTCATCCTTTTTTAATATTGCTACATGGGGGGCATATATGTGTTTAAACATTTGTTTCTCTGCTTTCAGCCATCCTTAGCCAGCGATATGACCCCCATTTTCCACTACAACACCAGCAGAAAGATCTGAGACTAGCACTGCTGTTAGGAGATAAAGTAGAACAACCATTGTATGTGGCTTCATCAGCTAATGAGGTAATACTACCATAGAGAAGCTTCTGGTTTATAGAGAGACAAAGTAGTACTGTCAGTCTTTTTTAAACTTTAGAATTTGTGTAATATACATACATATAATTTCCAAGAAAATATAACTTTCATGACATATTCTTTAAGAGGTCATTTAAAATATTGAACTGACATTTTTTGGAAGTATTTATATTTGAAACTTTGGTCATCAGAAAACTTTAGTTCTCCAATGTTAGTTTCGTATTTAATATGTGTACTTCCCTAAACATATTCGGTAGTCATACTCAGAGGACCACATGTATGTTGTGAATTCACTATATATACTTTAACAAATCTATTATACAGACGTAACAAATTATAAATTCAGCGAAACAATTTCAGAGGTCCCCAGGACTTCACTATAACCCTGTTTTACTGTATATCATTGCATGAATAAGTTTACGATTGATTTTCTCTCATCATGAATTTTCCTTTATTCTTCAGCTATACAAGAAGGCTCGCAGACTTGGGTATGGAGAGAGTGACATTTCTGCTGTTTACCGTGCCTCCAGTAACTGATTTCGAGTGAGAGAGACTTGTGATTCACTGGGCATGACTGTAATACATGTGACTTAACCGTGCAATGACCCTGGTGATTAATCTGTAGAAGCACCAATTACAGTATTGAGGATAGGTGAAAAGTGCAAAAATTCTGTTCTTCTATGAAGAAACGTAATCACTACAAACGTCATTACACTGAGATTTACGTCATTTTACTGAAAGTTATCTGCTCCGAGAGGGACCATGTGATCTCGTCACAGATACAGTGATGTTTTAGAGATTTTTACAAAGTCGTGTAGTAAACTTTTATTTAGTTGTTTCAGTTGAGTAATTATCATTATTAGTTCATTTTATATAAATAGTTCATTTTAAAGAATATGATGTGATTTTTTTCTCTCCTTTTTTAAGTAGGTTGTTCCATTGGGATTTACTTTAAACAAAAAAAAAAAAAGGAAAGAAAATTTGTGTAGTATATGAGGTGCCATCTGCATGCATTCATGAGAAGATATGTGAAGGAAAAAATCATAATTTTGTCACCAACATTTAAATCAGTTTATTGTTTTCCTACATTTCTCCTTTTGTATGTGGCATTCTTTCATCCAGATCTAAATTAATGGCAGCTATAGGCTTGAATCTAATGTGCTGTGTTGGTTTCTATATTTGTTTGCATTCAGTTGGAAAAATTTCGTCCAATGAGTGACCATAAATAATTGTAATGGGCAGTACATCAGATGTTATCAACAACAGTGAACTGTCCAAGGATTATATTTGCTTTGTTTAGTGTATCATGTTGAACAAAATAGTGAATGTGTGGTTTGATTATTGTAGAATTAAATATTTTTTAGACAAAATTACAAAAAGAGTTTGTGTGAAATTTATTTAGTTTCATAAAAGAAAAACCTGAAATATGTATTATATACATGTTTGTTTTTTTTTTTTTATTGTAAATCTTTGAGTATAGGGTCACAACCAGATACAGACTGAGAGCTTTGTATAGAACTGTACTGTAGCATTAAAATCATGTATATGCTGAGTTCTGTAAATAGACACATTTGATGTTGTATATCAAAAAATCATAAACTCCAAAAAATTTTCATGTATTCATTCACTGCATCCATTCATTGAAAACCTCATTAATGATTAAAGTTATGACAAGCTAAAGGAATTAAATCTCTCTTTTTATTTTTCATCAAGATTTTCATCAAGAAAAGAATGTCAGGATACTTAGTAGGATCTATTCCATCCAGTAAATTATTGGGATGTGGGTGAAGTGAGGGGGGGGGGGGGGGGGGTTTAAGATCTTTAGAATTAATTGATGTTTACAACATGTAATAGAACCTTGGACATTTGTGGACAGATGAAGAAAATGGCATATAATTTGATGATTTTTTTTTAAATGATAGATGTAATTTATATACAAAAGTATTTTTATGCCCACGGATCGAAAGATCCTGGGGGTATATTGTTTTTGTCCTGTCTGTCTGTTTGTCTGTTTATCTGTTTGTCTGTTTATCTGTTTGTCTGTCTGTCTGTTGTCAACTTTAACCTTGCCCATAACTTTTGATTGGTTGGAGCTATGACTTTCATATTTCACATGTATATTCCTTGTGACAAGACCTTTCTTTAGGTACCATCATATTTGACCTTTGACCTTGACCTTGGAGTTTGTCCCACTTTTGCAAAATTTTATGAGACTTAAACCTTGGCCATAACTTCTGAACGGTTGGTGCTTGGGGTTTCAAACTTCACATGTGTATTCTTTGTGACAAGGCCTTCCTTTGGATACCAACCACTTTGACTTTTTGACCTTGACCTTGGAGTTTGACCTACTTTTGAAAAACTTTAACCTTGGCCATAACTTTTGAACGGTTAGAGCTAGGGCTTTCATAGTTCACATATGTAATCCTTGTGACAAGACCTTCCTTTGGATGCCAACCACTTTGACCTTTTGACCTTGACCTAGGAGTTTGACGTACTTTTGAAAAACTTTAACCTTGGCCATAACTTTTGAATGGTTGACGCTAGGGCTTTCATACTTCACATATGTAATCCTTGTGACATCACCTTCCTGTGAATACCAACCACTCTGACCCTTTGACCTTGACATAGGAGTTTGACCTACTTTTGAAAAACTTTAACTTTGGCCATAATTTTTAGCTCACCTGAGCCGAAGGCTCAAGTGAGCTTTTCTGATCACATTTTGTCCGTCGTCCGTCCGTCCGTCTGTCTGTCTGTCTGTCCCTCCGTCTGTAAACTTTTCACATTTTTGACTTCTTCTCAAAAACCACTGGGCCAATTTTGACCAAACTTGGTACAAAGCATCCTTGGGTAAAGGGGAATTTAAATTGTAAAAATGAAGGGCCAAGTCTCCTCACAAGGGGAGATAATCAAGAGAAGACAAAAATAGGGTGGGGTCATTAAAAAATCTTCTTCTCAAGAACAACTGGGCCAGAAAAGCTGAAACTTATGTGGAAACATTTTAGGGTAGTGTAGATTCTAAATTGTTCAAATCATGACCCCCGGGGCAAGGGTGGGGCCATAATAGGGAATCCAAGTTTTACATTGAAATATATAGAAAAAAATCTTCTTCTCAAGAACCACTGGGCCAGAAAAGCTGAAACTTATGTGGAAGCATCCTAGGGTAGTGTAGATTCTAAATTATAAAAATCATGACCCCCGGGGGAAGGGCGGGGCCACAATAGGGAATCCAAGTTTTACATTGAAATATATAGAAAAAAATCTTTAAAAATCTTCTTCTCAAGAACCATTGGGCCAGAAAAGCTGAAACTTATGTTGAAGCATCCTGGGGTAGTGTAGATTTTAAATTGTTAAAATCATGACCCCTGGGGAAGGGTGGGGCCACAATAGGGAATCCAAGTTTTACATTGAAATATATAGAAAAAAACTTTAAAAATCTTCTTCTCAAGAACCATTGGGCCAGAAAAGCTGAAACTTATGTGGAAGCATCCTTGGGTAGTGTAGATTCTAAATTGTTAAAATCATGACCCCTGGGGGCAGGGCGTGGCCACAATAGGAAATCCAATTTTTATATTGAAATATATAGAAAAAAAAATCTTCTTCTCAAGAACCACTTGGTCAGAAAAGCTAAGACTTTTGTAGAAGCATCCTGGGGCAGCGTTAATTCTAAAGAATTCAAATCTTGACCCCTGGGTGTAGGGTGGGGCCACAATAGAGAATCCAAGTTTTACATTGAAATATATAGGAAAAATCTTTAAAAATTTTCTCCTCAAGAACCTCTTGGCCAGTAAAGCTGAAACTTATATGGAAACATCCTAGGGTAGTGTAGATTTTAAATTGTTAAAATCATGATCCCCGTGGGTAGGGCGGGGCCACAATAGGTATTACAAAAAGATCATCTGGTGAAGAACAGCAGGGCCAAAGTTAGACTTGGTCAGAAAAGCTAAGACTTTTGTAGAAGCATCCTGGGGCAGCGTAAATTCTAAAGAATTCAAATCTTGACCCCTGGGTGTAGGACGGGGCCACAATAGAGAATCCAAGTTTTACATTGAAATATATAGGAAAAATCTTTAAAAATTTTCTCCTCAAGAACCTCTTGGTCAGTAAAGCTGAAACTTATATGGAAACATCCTAGGGTAGTGTAGATTTTAAATTGTTAAAATCATGATCCCGGTGGGTAGGGCGGGGCCACAATAGGTATTACAAAAAGATCATCTGGTGAAGAACAGCAGGGCCAAAGTTATTCAGGTGAGTGTTGTGGCCCATGGGCCTCTCGTTGAATGGTTGGTGCTAGGGCTTTCATACTTTACATATGTAATCTTGTGACAAGACCTTCCTTTGGATACCAACAACTTTGACCTTGACCTTGATGTTTTACTTACTTTTAAAAAACTTTAACCTTCGCCATAACTTTTGAACAGTTGCAGCTAGGGCTTTCAAATTTAACATTTTTTATCTTTTGGCCTGCATTTTGACTTGCATTTGAGAAACTTTAACCTTAGCCATAAGCTGCCATACGGTGTTTCACAAACAACTCTTGTTTTTTCTAGGAATAAAACAGATTGACAAAGTATCTTTGGTTGAAAGGAACATGATTAAGGATCTTTATGTGTAAAGTAGAAATTGCAGACAGTTTAAAAAATCTCCAGAACAAGAATGCTGTATTGAAAGTACCATCAATTCATATGTAAAGTTTGAGACCCACTTGTAAAGGAGGTACGTAAGGGGGCGAAAAACTAGCATGAAGCCCTTTCTTGAACATACTTTCAAACAAATTTACCAGAAAATTTTATTTATGCTGATGGAATCTTAGCTCACCTGAGTTACTAATTAAACTATATACCAGTGCAAATATATTAATATACATGTAGATTCATAAAATGAGTTGAACAGGGTATTTTCGAACCATTTAATAGTCATTTTTTTATCAAACTAGACACAGATTGAGTGTACTTAGAAGTAATTCTAGGGTCAAATGTTGACATGTCCTCTCGTCTGTTCCTCAGTGAAAAAAAAATTAGAAAATTGCATGAAGAGAATTCTAATGAGAATTTTAGGCCATATTGTTATTGTTGTTTGTATTATTACATAATATCTTCTTCCAAAACTTGTGTGTTTGTCTAAATGTTTTCTTCCAAAACTTTTAAGTCTATTTTTTAACCAGATAGGTTGGTTGAAATCATTTATTGATGTAAAATCAATTTATTAAAAGGGCAATTGATTACAAAACATTTTACCCCAATGAAGGTTCAGGCTCATTTAAATGTAACACTTTGATGTTTTGAGATTCATATGTTTGCAAGATCAAGATAACCAGGGTGATTATTCTTTATATATAGGCTCTTTTTTTTCTTTTGATTTTGTATTTAATTACATGTACTTCAGACTTCTGTTTTAAGTTCAGTGTTTTAGTCGATCATAAATTTTGAACATCCTGTAATTAAAATACTGGTATGATAATAATTAAACCAATGAACATTATTTTTTGTATATAGGTTTTATGTTAAATTAGAGTGAATATTATTGGAGCTCTTCGGTAGACACTGAAAATTTTAGTGGTGATATTTTCAGATTTCATGTTTTACTCCAAATTATTAGTCTGATGAACCAATTAGTTCTTAGTATGTAGACATCAGGATCTATTTGATTAGTCCTAATGTCTACACAAAGAAAAAAAAGGGTGTGTACCTGAGTCATATGCTGGGTACTAAACTAGAATAAATACTACAAAGGATGAAAGATACAAGCTGGGTCAGAATAATAATGAGGCTTGGTAACCAGGGCTTAACCTTCCAATGATTTGCCTTTGACCTAAATCTTATATTTCCAGATTTTGCATTTATCTTATTTTCAAGATTTCTTTATCTCTTGATACAAGGTCTGAAGTATATGCTGCGATATCTCATGAAATTCTTTTTCTTTTTTTTTTTTTTTGGATAATTTATTGCATTTTCAAAGGTTTCTTTTTACAAAAAAAGAATATTGAGAGAGAGAGGGGGGAGAGAGAGAAAGAGAGGATTATGAAAATAAGTCTTTCAAAAGTCTCCAGCTTTCATCAAAAAATTCTCTTTCATTATTTTTATAAGATATATATTTTTATAATTCATACATTGTCTTAATAGAGGATATCAACCCACCTAAGGAAATGTTTCTGTTTGTACATTTGTACAGATAAATGTAATATTTGGTTTGTAGAGCAATAATATTTTTAAGCTTGTCAGTTTTCTTCACAGAGCCTAGTAAAAATTCCTTTTTTGAGAAAGTTATAGTAGAGTGGATTCTATCAAAACAGTACTTTGCAAAATTCTCTAAAAGAGCCTGAACATGTTCACATTCCCACAACAAGTGTTCAATTGTTTCAGTTTCTGCTTTACAAAGAGTACATATATTACTGTCAATTTTATTAATTTTATGCAGGAAGGAATTCGTTGCTAGTATTTTATGATTTATTCTAAATTAGAACCACTGAGATCTTATGAAATTCACTTTTACTACTAAACCAGCAATATCAAAATGGTCTTTTTAAGGAATGAAGGAAAAAAAATTCAATGGATTTATTATTTAGAAAATTTTTAAAAGTGAAATTGTTAAGTGTGTTGAAAGTTTTCCCTAATAACTTAGCAAGTTAACAGTGCCAAAAATTCATGACCTTTACTAATACCAATTTTTTAGCTCACCTGAGCTGAAAGCTC